CAAAATTTGTTTTCTGGTCACTAAAACAATTAAACTGATGTTTCCACCCTGGAATTCAATGCCACAATGACTGTAACATTCAAAGTCAGAGTCGTGCAAATCTTGGGTTGGACCCCCATGATGATCCCAAGCATCACCTGCATTCCATGCGGTAGCTATTGGTGCGTTTGGGCGTCACATGTAACTGGAAATGTTTCTTCTGTTAGGTTCTATAGTGACTTTTTTCGTAGTCATTTGCATATTTTAGTATTATGCCCCCAAAATCAAATATCCCCTACTTTTTTTGAATAGTATACTTAATCTAAGTGGGGTTACACTCGGCAAACCTCGGCAGATTCTTTTACTCTACATCTAGCCTTGGCTGTATGATGGTAAGTGATATGTAACTACGCCTAAACAATTTTGATGCGGCAACGGTTTACTTATTAGGAAAACTTGCCGCTTTTAAAAAGAAGTTATCGAAATTGTGTCATTCGAAGCGTGTGTAGAATTTTTATTGCAAAGTTGTCCTTGTTTGAAGAAAATCGGATAAACTTGAAAGAAAAACAGCTTCAGACTTTGAAACATTTGTATGATAAAACATTCTTCAAAGGCGTCGTCATGGGCGGACTTCGTCATACAGCCGGGGCTAGATGTAGGGTACTGGAATCTGCTGAGGTTTGCCGAGGGAGTGGGGTTGGGCATAACCCTCCTTATTTCACACTGTCTAAATGCCTGCATAACCAAAGCTATATACTTGTCAAAGTTATAGTATTGATTATCAAGTCACTCATACAATTGAAGAACAAAATTCCTTTAATGAGTTGTATAATCCTGTTACCCAAATCTAACAATCATATTTTTCTTCTCAATATTTCAAACTATACTTTTGTTACAAGATAAACAGACTATGTGGCTAAAAGTTTGGCATTTGATTTACATTCTGAAATCCACTTTTATTTACAGTGTCTTGTGAAATATGAGACTTTGTGTATGCTAGGGTAAAAGTACTGCTCAGGTTATATAAAGACATTTACCAGAATCTAAATTGAAAATATTGTAAAAATATGGGTGAAAAGTTGTGTAAAGACCTTGAAAATATATCCTAATATTAACATTATGTTAACAATATGTTGTTAGATTAGGAAGTGATATCTAAAACAAGGTTTCATAATAATATCTCTAACAATAAAAAATTTATCTGCATAAAAGTATATACATGTATGTCAAGTTAGGATGATTTATAGAAAAAAAAATGTTTGAGATCTATCCTTCTAAATGAGTTATTTTATCATAAAAGTAACATTTCATTATGCACTCTAGTGCTAAACTACTGTTTGTGACGCATATTTTTGTATGTTGTTAGCTTTTATTATTCAGTTGATTTTAATGATTATTCAAATATATATTACTCAGTATTGTTGGTCTTATTGCATTTTATAGTGATTAACTTTGACTGCAGAAAAGCTAAATACTTAATTAGTGGGTTCATTTACTCTATTATATTAATTAGCAAGACTACAATGATATGTAATAGTCAGTATTAACTTTAGATAATAATAAATAAATCAAACTAGATAATGATCCAAGATGGCGGTACTTTCTACCTGTAATGACCGACTACCAACTAGTGAATTGATTATTTTGAAGAAGACGAAACATGTGTTGCGGTACCCTGAATTCATCATATACACTTCCCATTAATTTAATTCCATTGATTTTCTCTACATGTAGTTATATTAGTTTAGATGAGGCACACCACCTCAAGTTTCGCCTCTAGTGACAAGCCTTACTCTGTTCACAAAATGTCAAATATTGTATAGGTTAATTACATTTCTTTTGTATTCTACTAAATGAAAAAATAAAAAAGATATTCTACAGTAAAAATAATAAATAATATATAATGTATGACGAAAGGAGATGGAAGGGAACTATAATATAGTTTATTATGGCATTGAATCAAATAAATCAATAAATGACTATTGTTGTCAATAAATAAATGAAAGACTATACTTATTCCTGTAGAAAGATTTAACAATTGCTACCAGGCCTACCAGTTTATATTAAAGATAGCCAATATTATAAAGCATTATATGTCAAGGATATATTTTATAAAAAAATGATTACGGTATTATATTGATTTTTTTATGTTATTAGTTTAGTGAATTAAGAAAAATATGCTAAGGCGAGAAAACCCAGGTATCATATATATTGATGATATTATCTACTTATTGAATAACCTATATATTTATTATGGTATATCAAAATGCTAAGATTATTGATTATTTTATTTGACCAAATAATAAATTTAAAGAACAATCAATCATAAATTAAATATAAACTTCAAAAGAAAGAGTAATGTTTTTAATTATGCAAGTTCACAATATATGATTTTTAGCTTTTTAAAAATGAATTTAACAAATTTTGTAGATTTGGATTAATGTTTGACATATGTTTGAAAATAAGATTAATTGACATATAATTAAGTATGAAGTGAAAGTTTTTATGTTGTAAAGTACTATAAAGCTGTATAGAGTTGTTGTAATATGGGTCAGGTTGTATTGTAATGTCAACATATGATAGTTTCATTATGCTTAAATACCACATCTTACTGTAAAACTTCTAAAACTCCACACTGTAGTCATATACCTTCAGATTTAATCAATCTCAGCTTTGTTGTGTTTGAAGCAGACATCTTTTTAGAAATTGTTTTAGAAATTCCTTAAAAGCATTTTCTTAATATTTTTCAGGGGGTACATGAATATTATATTTTGGGGTATTTCATATTGCAGTTGTACATATAGATATCCGGTGTGATTCTATAACAATTCACAATCCAAGTTGTATCCCAATATTGCAGTATATCAGGGTGTAATTGCATAGATAATATAATCTCTGAATGCCCCTTGTTCACTGTAATACCAAATCACAAAACAGTTTTCTTATGTTCACTCTAAGAAAAGGGGAAGTGAAAAATTGTCACTTAAAATATCATTTGGTCATTGATTGTACTGTTAGGCAGACCTAAATAATTAATTCACAGTTAAAATTATTTACATACATTTATTGTTTTGATGCAGTCAAAAATATATATAGTAAGTGTAGAAAAGAATAAAGCTTCTGTTGTACATAAAGTTTTAAGTCATTAAAAATGTACAATATATTTGTATCTCTCTCTATATATATATATATAAATCATTCTGTCATGACGTAAATGATTTCTGGGATGTAAATTTAAATAGGATAAAAATAGCTCCATGCAGGATATTCTTATAGGTTATTATTATATAAGGATATATGCTTTCAAAAAATCAGTTCATTTTCCTAGTGTTATTAATCATGTATGTTTCATGTTTTAAAAGGGGAGTTGGGTGGCTGAATGGTTAGCACGTGCGCGCTGTACCATAAAGTCTGTCATTGAGTCAACTGGCGTGGTTTCGAATCCCCGGTTGTACGTGACAAGGAGTAGGGTCGCCTGTCCAACCTCGTGGGTTTTCTCCGGGTCCTCCGGTTTCCTCCCACTGCTAAAGACCCCTACGCGCAAGCGAATTATTGAAATAAAATTAAACCATGTGTTAGTCCCAAAATGACCTAGTTTGTGTCGAGTGGACGTTAAACCCCATCTCTCTCTCTCTCTCTCATGTTTTAAATGTTCTCTTTATAGTTGGGGGTCGGATGGTCGAATGGTCAGCACATGCACGCTGTATCATAAGGTCTGTCATTCAATCAACTGGCAGGGTTTCAATTCCCCGGTTGTATGTGGTGACAAGGAGTAGGGTTGTCTGTCCAAACTCGTGGGTTTTCTCTGGGTCCTCCGGTTTCCGCCCACTGCTAAAAACCCCTAGGCGCAAGCAAATTATTGAAATAAAATTGAACCATGTGTTAGTCCCAAAATGACCTAGTTTGTGTCAAGTGGACATTAAACCCCATTTTTCTCTCTCCCTCTTTATAGTAGATCATTAATGTAGACTTATATATAACAGTTTATATGTATTTTCTAACTTATTCCTAATAGTGGGTGTAACAGTTCATTGATTATGATGTATCTTATATCATTATTCTACCAACTTCGGCTAGGCCGAAAATTGAATCGCTAAAATCTCGGTTCATAGTGGATCAATTTGACTGAAATTTTCAGCAAATTCCCTTTTATCTAATTTCTAACTATTATAGTGAGAACTGCTATCTCTTTATCTAATCTCCCGTAATGTATCTTTAATACTAAGCGACGTTTTGATGAGGATGCTCTCGTCTTTGTCAAGCAAATGACTGACGGCATTTATAACTGGCTGCATTAGCTGATTATGCAAACAATCGAAACAAAAATCAAAATCTCAGAATAAAGATTATAACACTCTATTATTTATTTGCATATAATGTGAAGTGTTCAAGGTATTGATCCGAAAGCAAACCCAGTTTGTATCAAATACTGAATAATTGCAGACATTAAACAAAAGTTGGTTTCTAATATTCCTTTGTTTTGTAGTATTGAAGTATAGGAGGATGAACTAGATTAATTTAACAGGTCTTTATCTAGGATATCAAATATTGTTTTCCTTCTATTACAATATGATAGATGTACCCATATTACAAGGTGTCAGTTTACTAAAGCTATAATATGTAGGTGATATAAACTGTAAATACTTGTTTCAATGAATTATTCACTAGTATTATCTATAAATAACTAGTTGTCTAGTATTCACAATATTTTCACAATATAATTTTAACACCATGCTGAACAATTTGAAACTCTACTTGTTACATAATGAAAAACATATTTCCCCAGAAAGCCAACACAAATGAATAAAATAAATTTCCCTATTCAAATGGAGGGTGTGTTGAATTAGTTTTTATCACAGTGTGGCCATTTGCCAGAATTTATGAAAATATGTTAACATTAGTAGGTACTTATTTATTTATGTAGTTTCCTGCATGCTGAGGAATTCATTGTTTTAATAAACAATGGATAGAAATGATAAAATCATGAAATTTAATAATTGTGTTGTTTTGTTCTTTTTCAGGATGAAATACTGGCCCTGCACCATAAAATGATATTAAAATTGACTGATCTAGTTCCCATGATTCAATGTAAAACAGAATGGACAATCGGTTGCTCTGTTCCTGTTGATACTGGTTCTGACCAATCAGAAACAGAAAAGAAACAAGGTAAAGAAAGATAGGTTGCCAGGGCAATGAAACATACGTCCACAGCACTTAATTCATCCACAAGGGTTTAATGCATATGTATTCTTCTGTAGGTAATGGGATTATTTACAAGATACTGACAACTGATCACGATTAACAAACAATTAAGTAATTATCAGAAATAATTAAAATTTTAATCACTCCTGGTACTAGTAATCAGATGATAAATTTAGAAAGTTTGGGTTACAGGAAATCGTTGAAAATCAATAGGCTTCTTCATCTCATGAAGATAAACACTATGTATCCATCGGAAAATAACTTAAGACAAAAACTAGTCTCTTCCTTGTTGACGATGGTCGGGGGACGAGCATCAAAATTGTGACAAATTCCCGAAGTTAGTTATGAAACCTTGTGACGTTTGAGTGTGAAATTTATGTTGTCAGTTTTACACCATTATTCCAAACTATATGATGACAAAAACTTCTTCTTTTTAAGATGAGAAACATTACAGTCTACCCCAAGTTATTATTCAGAGTTATCCCCAGTATTGTAGATTTCGAGCTGCCCTCAAAAGACTAGAAAATGTACAGGATAAATGGTTGAAGAATGCCTTGGTTTGTGCTCTGGGCGGTTTTACTACCAAATCGAAGAACTGTCGAATTCTTTATTGTCTTGATACCTTCTACAGTTCTGATTTAGATGAATTAGAAATAAGATGTGATCATTTAGGTAAGAATCATCCCTTGATGGACGTCAACTTTCTCCAGTTCAACATCAAATGGTCCAGGTGCCTATTCAGGATTTCTCTGCCCTACACATATGTATTCTAGAGACTAACCTAGAATACACATTGTTTCCATTGTATAATGAAAACTTAATATTCCTTTGAATTCACATTTAAGTAGGCTACATGGCCTGAACAAGTTTGTAAAAAAATCTGATGAATTAATGCAGAAAATAGTTTTGCAAACTAGTTTCTAGATAATTGTAGATAATTTTTTCTTTATACAAAATCTGATTTTTTTGTCAGGTGAAGTTATAATCATTATTTAGTATTTATGTTTGATTATATTTCTAGCACCGAATTTGAAAGGTCGACCACGTAAAAAGAAATTATTATTACGTAAAGAATCATCCCATGATTCTGATAGTAGTGGTCAGACAGAGAAACTTATGTATGGTGGATCACCATTATTAAAACCATCCCCTCATAAAACTAGGGTGAGTGTAATTGTCATAAAACATATAACTTGTATTTGATGAAGAATATACCCTGAGGGCTACTATATAAGCTTACACTGTCTCCTATAGTTTGAGACAAAGAAATTAATTTGTTCAAAAGTACACTTTGGGTTTTCCCACATATTTGCGTTTAAGAAATGCAGTAATCATCTTTCTCTTACATATGCCTGAAGTCACCTTGGCATGGACTGCCACAGATGTCTCACTACACGCTGTGGGATTGTTTGCCAATGATTTTGGAGTGCCTGTGCCAACTCTGCAACAGTTCGTTGTGGCATGCCTTGAGTTTGAACCCGTTGCCCAAGTTCATCTCAAAGGTGTTCGATCAGGTTCATGTCAGGAGACATAGCGGGCCAATCCATAACACGGACATGATTGTTCAGAAAGTCTCTAGTCAACCTGGCAGTGTGGGGTCGGGCGTTGTCATGCTGGAAAACCATCTGTCGACAGACGCGTTGAGCCAGCAATGGAAGCAACACCGGACGAAGGATGGCGTCAACATAATGTTGAGCGTTGAGATTACCTTGGACCACCACCAACTGGGACCGTAAGTTGAAGTTGATAGCTGCCCAAACCAAGGTGCCACCTCCCCCCGAAACGATCCCTTTCCAGCATAAAGTAACAAGCAAAGCGTTCTTGTCGACGTCTGTAGATACTGTGACGTCCATCAGGAAAACCGAGGTTGAATTGGGATTCATCCGAGAAGATGACATTTCGCCATGGTGTGTTGTGCAGATACCCCTGATTTTCGGCCCATTGCTGTCTGGCAAGTCGATGGCGATGCAAAAGGATTTGACCTTGGTAAGGTCGACGGAAGTGTAACCCAAGAGCAGCCAAGAGCCTTTGGACTGTTTGAGGGCTGAACTGACATTGCCATGTTCCAACAGTTCCCCTGGCAGCAGCAGTAGCTGACTGAAACCTGTTGTGCAGATGCTGTAGTCGGATGTGGCGATCTTGAGCAGCGGTTGTTACAGGTGGCACTCCAGGTCGGGTCGATCGGCAACTCTTCTAATGACGTGGAAGTGTTGTCTGAGGCAAGCAATAGTCGATGGGTGGACATTAAAGTGTCTGGCGACGGCTACCTGTGAAACCCCCTGATCCAGCATGCCAATAGCTCTGTTCCTGTTTTCTTGTGTAAGGCGTGGCATTTTTCCGAAGTGATGAATGTTGAAATTTTGATCTGTATTTAAAGGGCCAGAGTGCAGGGAATCCTCGTGCAAAACGTGTGACATGGGACTGCTTAAAATCGTGAAAAAAGACAAGTGTTGCGTTTGCACAAACAAAGTTCATTACCGAGAACTGATATTAGGTTCAAACCCAGAACTCCACAAAAAGAGACCCATCACAAGTTTCACCTATGTGCCGTAAGATAGGAAAGCCCGAGAAAACATTTACCAGAAATATTTCACAAATTAGGCATTGCGTTTTTAATGGCTTTGAGTGTATTATAGACACATGATACACTCAATAGATAATGTAAAATAAAGGTTCATTTTGGGCTGTGAATGATAAATAAATTTATGACATTTATATCTTTTGACAGTCACAGGGATGTACATTCTATGAGAAAAATAAAACAACAGAAGCAGAACAAGTCTTCCTTATATCTTTACATAAATTTATGAGGAATCGTAATACACCTATAGAGAGAATTCCTTCCCTTGGATTTCGTCAATGTGAGTATACCAAAACTAACATAATCCGCTTATATTACCAACAATGTGAGTATATGAAAACTATAAAAAGCTCATATTGCCAACAATGGTAATATTCATAATAACTCTAAAAAGATTAATTATAAATATAGCTTTGGTTCTTGAAATTTAATACCTGCTAATAATTGCCTTGGAAAGATGTACCTTTAAAGACTTTTTATATGACATGTATTATAATACATTTAAAGGGACCATCCCGATTTTAACAGAGTCTCAGAAATAAAAGTCCGTCTACCGATGAAATTTAAGCGCTAGAGTATAGAGGAAAGGTGTAATTACCTTGTCGCAAAATTTCAGCTCAAAATATTGAGTCGTTTGGACATGAACGTCAAAACCGCTTATCCCGACACGTAACTCTTTTAAGACTTCGGGTCAATTTTTTCATTAGGTGACCTGATAATCTATTGCCGTTCCTTTAGAGGTCTATACAGTGCATGAGGCACGTGCTGTATTTGTTAACGAAAGGTTAATTTCACCTACACATAATTTTTATAAAATAAAAGTCTGGTTTTATCCAAACACCGTATAATACAGCTTGGGACACCAGTCTCCATTTTCCAGATGAAGACTGACAGGTTTAAGTTGTTTGAAAAGGTATCACGTATATTGAGTTAGTTGCTCGGCCCTAATGTAGAGGATCTTAAGGGCTTTTAACACAAAATTAAGCAGTTTTATCTTCTAAAATATAATCACGTTTGACCCTTTGACCCGATCTATTATTATTTGAGAAGATAATTGTTACTCCATGGTTTTAGCATTGTAATCATTTGTTTTTAGTATCTGTGTTTTTTTTTCAGTGGACATGTATGTATTTTATAAATATGCTGAGAAGTTTGGTGGCTATGAAGCAGTAAGTATGAACAATAGAGAATCTCATACCAGATTTGTTTTAAGTCATATATATGGAAACAAGCTGATAAAAAGATTTATCCATGGTTGTTTATATATTTGATATAAAATAAAGATGAGTATGAGATTTAATTTTTACCCAATATCATTCAGGGCTTGGGTGGCCGAGCAGTCTAATGTGTGCTGTGTAGATGATAAGGCTTGTTATCATACAAGTTATGTGTTCCATTAGATGGTTAATGTTGCCTGAATATCATTATGAGTTTTCTCTGGGTACTCTTGAGTGGATGTTTAACCAAATTTATCCTCATCTCTAACCAATTAGGCAACATCACCAATGGAATTCACTATTGGGCAATCGATTCTAAACTATTAATCATTGAAATAATAACCTTTAAAATAAAAATTTGTATCAGACTATAAATTAAATTTTTTCAATACTATGTATACATGTGTGTTAATGACAAATTTTTATATATTTCTTACAAAATATGAAGAGGAAATAATTGTAATGTATTTCAGGTGACAAAGAAAAGATTATGGAAATTTTTATATGATAAATTAGGTGGAAATCCAGGAAGTACAAGTGCTGCTACGTGTACTAGAAGACATTATGAAAAGTAAGTTTTCTCAACAGTATTTCAGTTTTTAGATTTTCAAGGAAAACAGCTAAGTATCTTTACTTATGGATGTATTTCATCATTTCTTCAATGAAATTGTCTTGATTTAATTACATGTTCTACATTGTTATGATGAACCGTTATAATAGTCTTGTATGACTCATGACTACTATTATTATAAATTCAAGCCTACAAGGGTGACCAAATAAATAAATTCAAATATGTTTGTGCATAATCATTCAATTGCTGTGATAATCAGATGTAGTGCTGGAATATCAAGAATATATTTTTCATTTCTACCAGACTTCTTTTAACTGTTAGGGTACCAAAAATGAAAATTATATGATACACCTTCTTGTTTTGTAGACTTCTATTACCTTACGAGAAACACATGAAAAGTTTGAAAGCTATGAAAGAAAAAGAAAAGAAAGCTGTATTGAATAAAGTTAAAGAAAAAATAGAAGAGAAAATTGAAGTCTTTAAGAGAGAAAATAGTCAGTCTTCACAAAACAGTCAGGTAATTTGAATATCTAAATTTAAAGAGATAATAGGGATTCGAGGCTGACTGGTAAAAACTATTTTTCAATTTAACAGGATTTGACTAGACAGTTAAATTAGGCATGTTCAAATTAGACTGTTTGCAAACTTTGAGACAAATCGACCTTCGCTGAGATATTCAATTTTCAGTTGACAAGGCGTACAATTTTTTTGTGATTTTCATAGCATTTAGCAAAAGTTTGTGAAAAATAGTAGATCAGTATTTGGATTTTTGAGTCTAATGTTATTTTGAATAAAATATTCAAAATTAATTACGTTTACTTATTTTCTTAGAGTGATAATGCCTTTTAAGTCATTTGAATTTCCTTATGAATTTTCTAATAAAAAGCCATGAAGTTATGACATTACTATGTAAAGAAATGGGTTGAATGTTTATGGCAGAAATGAGTGGAAAGTTTTAAAAACTCAAGTTTTGAATAATTTATTATATTTTGTAGAGAATACCTTCTGATACTGTCAGTGAACAGAAAGAGAAACAATGGAATGATTATCGTAAACAGTCTAATAATAATAATAATAATCAACATCGTGAAAAGGTAATTTATCATAGATTATTGATAAATTATAATCAAAAGAAAACTGTACAAAGTTCTGATAGAATATAGTCAAAAACAAAAATATGTTCAGGTTTAAAGGTCCACTTTTTATACCTGTACAGTGTGGACTTGCTAGAGGCTAAAGAAAATTTATATGTATTGTGTTAGTTGAATCAACAGCATTGGTGGTCTGATGTGAAATTTTAGAGACAGTGGATGTTACTTGGCAGTCTATCTTTCCTAAAGCCTTTTTCTCGATAGATGCATGTTCTCAGTTCTGCCACACAAACAGTTGGAAGCTACTGTCCTTAGAAAAAAAAATCTATTGAACTTTTAATAACCCTTAATATATCTGTCTCGTCATTATGCTCTGATATCAGTTTATCATAATGATTGGGTACTATGTAACAGACCATTTGTGCCTTGTGGTCATTTTACATTTGCTATGTTTTACAACTGGCGGGGTTTCGATTCCCTGGTTGTACATGACAAGGAGTAGGGTCACCTGTCAAACCTCGTGGGTTTTCTCCGGGTTCTCTGGTTTCCTCTAACTGCTAAAGACCACTACGCGCAAGCGAATTATTGAAATAAAAAAATTAAACCATATGTTACTCCCGAAATGACCTAGTTTGTGTCGAGTGGACGTTAAATTCATTTCTCTCCCTCTCTCTTGCTATGTTTTATTGAACAACATGATATCCATAACCAGTCTTTGTTTATAATTTAGTCATTTTGACTTAAAATGTAGTGTTTTGAATTTGTTATATAAATAAAATTTGGATTAAAGATTCATTTATTATTTTTCAGTTCAAGAAATCTCAGCGTCAAACCGTCAAAAATCTACTTGATAATGTATCTGCTAAAGAAACTGGTAAACAAGAATGGATAAGCCAAGCATCATGCATATCCCTACCAACAATGCCAGTTAAATCTGAGAATTCTTCACGACTGTTAGAAATACCAACTGTTCGTCAGAAAACCAGTATATTGTCCCCTCTTGCCTACCGTACAGCACCAAAACATCTGAAACCTGGAGCTTCATCTGCACCCATTATACCTACCACCAGCACCTCTAGTTTGTATTATGCAAATGGTTATCCACTGGCGGCTTCACAACTATTTGCTCATTCAGTCATCCCATCACCTAAAACCGTAGAAAAAGCCAATCTTTACTTAGTGTCACCACAAGCTAGTGGTAGTAACCAAAATAAAACCCCATCATCAGGTCATCATGGTGGTTTAACTAGTCCTTCAAGTCATCCACATATACCTTACATGTCAACTACAGTACCAGCTCATTCTAATCATAAACGATCCTATTCAGTCACCGATATCATGTCACCACAATTTGATCGTCACACAGATTCGAAGCGTCAGCGATTAGAGTTAGCTCCCCCACCTAGTAACCATTGTGTTAATAGTCACAGAGAAGAAGTTTGTGATGATGAACCAGTTGATTTTAGTATGAAAACTCTACGTAAAGGAAGCAATGAGAAAAAGACAATTATTAACACACCTACCATGACCAATCATTCTAAAACCCATCCTCAGGATTTCTCAAGGATATCAGGAAAGACAACTCCTCAAAACCATGCATCAAGGTCGCATCAAGGTCATTCATCAAGTCGATCATCATCTGCTAGTCCTATGTCAACGAAATCATTGGATCGTTCTGTTACTTCTAGTGACAAGGCAAGATCTAAATCTAAGGTAACTATTTCTATCAGAAATCTTAAAAACACCATTAAAGATGGCCACCTTTTCTATTGGGGTAACCAAGGCCTAATAGCTATCAGTAGGCCTATTCTGATTATTTCATTGTGATAATTTATTTTTAGAAATAAGTGTATGATGAGATTTGTGGTTATTTTTTGTGCCTTAATATTTGAATACCAAGAGTGTCAGCATTATATCTGTTAATAAATATATCAAGTATGATTTTATTTTTACGGCATTTCATTAAATTACTATCCAAAAGCAAAATTTTATATTAGCAGATAATTATTATTGAATATATAAAATTATATCTATGCTTTTTTTTAAAAAGTAAGCATTAAGAAATGAATTGGGGTACATTTCAGGAAGCTGCCCCATCTAGTTTACAACTATCGCCAGGTGATGTCTTCAATTCTACCGTCCATCCAGCTTTTCAATATGCTTATCTATCCCAGCATTCACCAACAAATTTAGCAGCCAACCCTCTTCAGATCCAACAACTGTATGCAGCCCAGTTTCAGGCCAATGCAGCACAACTTGCCGCATATGAAGAAATGATGAGACATCAAGTGTTTGGTCAATTAAATACGCCTGCTCAAATATTGATATCCCCAGCTCAGATTTATCCACAGTTGTTGAAAGATGGACAGAAATTTGGTGCATCGAAGTAGATATATGTATATATAGTTATGACAGTCTGGTTGTGGTAACTCTCTTCTTATTGTGCTATATTAAGAAAAAAGACTTACATGGCACAATTTGTTGTGTAAAGTGATAGAATTCGTAAAACCCTGCAGTTGACCGTTAAAATACTGGCTATGAATTGTTTTATAGTGAACAGAATGAAGTGTCATTACTTATCCAAGACTATGAAAGTGTGCCAAATATGGAAAGTTGGATGAAATTACTTTATAAAAAAAAGTAAAGTAAGCTTAAGGTGTGATGATGATACTAGAATAAATGGTGTTGTGAAGGTTTGCTGTATATCTGTAAAGGATCTATGCAATATCGAATCATAATGATATTCAGTGACTGCATATGTAAGTTCTCCATTTAGTAAATTTAAAAATATTAAGTTAATATATTCTTTGTGTGAAGAAAAATTCCCTTACCAGGCCCCCCCCCCCTCGCCTTTAAATATTAAAAGATATATGTATATGGTATTATTTATATTGACTCTGCCTTTCAGTCTTTGTTCACAGCGCTAATAATTTATCTTCTATTCATAAATGATTCACAAATTTGAAAGGGTTTGTGAAAAAAACAACTATATAATAGTTGTTTGAACACTGTATACACATGACATGTAATGGAATTATTTCTTTGTATTGCCAGACATTTTGTATTTTTGTATACTTCTACCATCCAAGTACCGTACCTAATGTAAATATTGTAATAATTGCATATTAAGTAATAACTCATTAATGGCAATATAACTCAACTTATATGGTAGTAATCAATTATTACATTTCTAACACCAAATAAATATTTCAAATAATTGTTCAAAATATGAGATGATACATGCATGTATAAAGAAACCATTATACTGTACCATAATTATGATAAATATATACAGAATATAGTATACATATATATTATACATTATATTATTAAAGTTTATATATAAATGTTGCAAGTTTGTTAAACATTTGTTTAAAGTTGCACAGTTTAAAAAATTAATGGGTGTTGACCATTTTCAATTTCTGTTAAGTTACAAGTTTTGCCAGAAGAAACAGATTTGATTGTAATGTTGGCATTTATTTATTTCCGGTTTGTAATTTGGACATTTAAGAATTATTGTTCAGAATATTATTTATGAGCATATTACTCTGTTATTATGCTATTTTACTGAAGTGGGAGTGTCCCCATGAAATAAAAATACTCCTGCAAGATTGGCATTACAGCACTACACAGAAGAAAAAAAGAGTGAAGAGTTGTCAATTTTTCAAATATCAATGCAATATTCATGTGTTCTTAGAAAATATCAAATTCCTCAGACAATTCATTTGTGCTTCCAGATAATGAATTATTTTGCAGACATCACTTCAAGAAAAACTGAGTAGGGAAAATCCAGAAATTAAAGATGCATTATGTAAGATTTAGATAAAGAGCTGACTGTTCTTGCAATAATAGTTCCAAAATAGATAATTCAACATTAATATATTGAAAATTTAATTCAAATTACTTTATTCCGAGTCAAGTTATCACTGTTTGTAGTTTTAACAAGATGTGACAAATATTGTTTATTACCGTAGCAACATTACTTGTTAATCGAGATTCAGCCTCGCTTCTCCATTTTGAAATTAAATCATTAATTGGCGAAGGCATTTTAATCTGTTTTAATCTCTGCCATCCGACGTTCTAGAGAGTTGATTATAGGATCGTCATGTGAATAATTGTGAAAATAAAAATTGACATAACATTTAAAGCCAAAATAAAAACCTGCAATAAGCACATTTAGCTCTTGAATAATGCATCTTTAAAAACAAATTTTTCTCAAAAGTATACTATCTGAATTTGATACTTTTTGTGATAAAGACAGGAGAAGAAAAACAGTGACATGTATTTAACACTAGTAGTTACTACTGTATAGCCAAAACTGTATTTTCTTTATTTCATTGTTTATTCTAAGATTTATCTGTGGTCTAAACTAGTCATTAACCATTCATATTGTTTAAATAAATTTATTCTATTGAACTATTGTTTGTATGTATACACATATTAAAGGCTACTACCTACAAATGATGGGGTCTTTGTATACACACTGTCACTGGTGTACAACAATAATGTATACAAGTCAGACATGAGATGAAGCTGGAAAGTAATGTTGGTGGAGTCTGGGATACACTCATTTACAAATTAAAAAATAATATAAACATACATTATGCAAGAGCTAAATCTGCCTATTGCAGGTCTTTCTTTAGACCTGAAATGTTATCTAAATTATTAGACATTAATTAACCGATCCAAGCCATAATAAACTCTCGATGGCATCAGATTTCCCCGATATTAAATATATTTTGATTTAATCTAAAAATGGAGGACCAAGACTTGGCTTCGAACAACCAGTATGGTGGTTGAAATTATTGCACACGTCTTGTCAAACCTTCAAAGGCTAATATCATTATTCATTATCTATTTTCGAACTATTATAGCAAGAATGACTTAGCTCTTTATCTAAATCTTACATAATGTATCTTTAAACTGATTCTTCATACTCTATTTGGCCATGAATGATTGTTCGATTGTCTGAACTTTTCATGACATTGGTTATCCCTAAGTCACATATTTACTGGAAATCATCTCAATGAAGGCAGCCACAGTGGCTCTGTAAGTAAGACGCTGGCAGAATGACCACGGCATCCGGTGTTCGATGCTGGTGTTAGTTAAGAAAGTTCCCCAGGATTTTCCAGTGAGTTTTCCCTTGTCAGTGGTGCAAGAACAGAGGGCCTGGGAAATAACAGAATTTAGTCATTTGGATGGTACAAAAAAAACCTAACAGAACCCTTGGGAGTTGGCAATTGAAATAAAGAGTAGGTCGTTTCGCCACTGCATGGTGTATGCCCATCTTCATTAGTCCATTTGGTGCAGAAAAGTAGGATGTTAATCTCCATTTCATTGAATGAATGCATTCGTTCGTTGGAAGCATTTTCTGACAAGAAATTTGGGATGCAACAAATCTGCTTGCCTCAGAATTAAAGATTTAGGCCTACTTGAAAGAACCTAGTTCTGATGAACATAGGTTGAACTAAATTTCCCTTTACCATTCTATTGGACCTGGAATATGCCTAACCTGAAGTTACCACACCAATTTTAAGTTGACCCGATTATCCCAAACTCAAATTTGGCACTTTAATTTAACCGGCAACTTTCGGGGAGAGCAGGGGAATATTAAAATGGGTTATTCCATCTGTCACATTTTGGGTTTCTGTATGAGCTAGAATGTGATTCTAATTGTGGTAGAATGTTCAAACTCGTGTAGATGTCGGTTATCTGAATTTTAATCCCTTTATAAAGTATCTATGTGCAAGTAATTAATCAGTGTCATGGCATCACTGCATAGCCCAAGGAGAAAATGCCCACCATCTAACTCAGTAAGACATAAACATCCCACTCCTCAATTTCCAAATAAATTGCTTACCACTCAGCTCGACCAGAGCTGAAAATGCTCATGATCGAGCCTAGCCAAAGTATTGACATAATAAAACTATCTGATTGAACTCCGTCAAGACAATTACTTGAATATTCTACCTCAATTACAAGCAGTGATTCCAAAAGGTCCGACTACAGGCAACTACAGGCAGCTCGCTACTTGGCCAAACTGAATATACCCAGTTATTTTTGACATATCAAATTGTCGATACAAAGTTTCATCACTTTCACAAATGAAATGGGGGTTCAACGTCTTACTTTTCTGCAACAACCAGGCTAATGAAGATGGGCTCAACAGCATGTAGTGTGCTAGGAGGTACATTTTGCTAGGACAGCATTACTATGTCCTACTCTTTATTTCGAATGCCAACGTTTTTTTTTTTATGTGTACACTGACCTCGGTTAAATGTAGTAGAGGCATTCACCTACTCCAAGCTTAAAGATTCTTTCTCAGTTGTATGTTAATTATTGCGTCCCAAAAAGTGCAGTGGGCAGACTAATTAACGAACCCATTTTAATAGTCCATCCCCCCCCCCCCCGATTAGCAGAGGTATGGTTGGCAAAGCAACAGCCCATAAAACTTATGAGCCTTTTTCAGCCATGGTTAATATGATACAGACCATTATTATGCAATACACATCTTTCTCTCAAATTGCTGCATCAACTAAAAGTGGATTAGGAGACCTAGGTGGGAAGAGATATTTAGGGTTTAACATCCAATTAACTAGATCATACCATGATCAGCATAATTTTATTTCTCTCAAATTGCTGCATCAACTAAAAGTGGTTAAGAGACCTAGGTTGGAAGAGATATTTGGGGTTTAACATCCAATTAACTATTTTAATTATTGTGGTGTGTATACACCATACAGGTCTTTGAGAAAAACCTCAAAATATTCTCTGCCATCGATCCAGGATGAAGATACTATACAACCTTACTTAAAAGTATCTAAAAAAGGGCCTTGTTCTAGTTTCAGAAATATGAAAACCAAAAAAAAATCATTTTAAATTTTATTATGTGACAATGATATACAAAACTGATAGAAATAGCACTCATGAAGCAGAAATATTAAATATATTTACAGATCGTATTGATATATATATATGGACATGATAGATAAATAAACTTTGAATTATGACAGTCACTTGTGAAATGAACAATTTCAGGGGGAGTTAACCCAATCTGAAACCTATCATTTTCAAGACAAAACTTTCACATTCAAATAACTTTATTTCAGTTTACTACATAGGTCGACCTCGTCCACGGCCTCTACCTGCACCCGGTGGTCCACCACCCCCTTCTGCTCTAGGATTGCGTATAGTTTCATCTACTGATAATATTAAACATGTCGATTCTATAGCAGCAGTTATAGCATTGATCTTTACTACAGATGGTTCCCATACAAAAGCTTGAAAATTATCACAGATGTCTTCAGTCATAATATTAACACCAAACCATGTTCCTCCTAAACAAAATAAAGATTCATAAAATTCCTTCAAGATTAGATTATCACTTTATAACATAAAATATTGAATTGAAAAAGTAAATATAGGTTTGTAATGAATATAAGCCAACAAGTGTTTGTTGTACAACCGTCGTAGAAAAGATTGTCAATTTGAATACTTTAAAAACGACAAGAATAGAAATAAAATTTCTATCAAGGATAATGACGAATATATTTGTATATGACAAACTTAACCATCCTTGTATTCAACTATTTCCATCAATTTCTAAATGATATATTGATCTCAGTTTTCATGGATACAAATGAATTATTATTCTGCAGCTGACTTATGTTTTAAGACAGAAAAAGATGAAGGGAATAGTAAGTAATTTATCAATTTTGGAACCAATATCCTTTTTCTCGAAAACATTTTTAAGATAATCGTCTTGAGATTAGTAACCATGACTTACCTTCAGCATGTTTCTGTCGTAATTTATTGAGAATATTTGTAGCATCAAAACCTGCATTATCACAAAGTTGTCTGGGTATAACCTCTAAAGCTTTGCCAAGGGCTGTAATTAAGAGTTGTTCTTTTCCGGCTATGGTTTGAGACAGATCTCGTAAATATCTACTTAGTTCCATTTCAATAGCTCCACCACCTAAAATAAAATGTTGATATTTATAAAATTGGGCAGAGAAAAATAAAGAGATAACCTTATCATGTTAGGAGACCATCAGGTAATATGGGTGGTAGATAAATGTCATCATAGAAATATACTATGTTATCTATTACATCATTTGGTCTCATAAATAAATCAAGTTTCAGTTGAGCTGAAATTTCCACAAAATCCATTTTCAATTAAGCAACACCAGATTTGATCAACAAACAGTATATCAGTAATTTATTTTAAAAGAAATATGCTGTTTTGTTATCAATATTTTAACCTTAGGGTTTATCAAATTTTAAATACCGTTTTATATACTACTCTAAAATGTAATATCAGGTTTTATTATTTTCACATTAAAGTAGAAAGTTGTATCATTTCCAAATAAAAACTTTATCAGAGCCATACACCGGTCTTGATATGTACAATTTGTCCTCAAAAATTAACCAAATATCATATGCCCTATTATTCAGGCATAGGTGATATCTAACTATTCCAAAGATGCATTATGTAAGATTCAAATAAAGAGCTAGCTGGTCTTGCTACAATGTTCAAAATAGATAATGAATGATAGGTTGTTAGGCAACAAAACATACGCCACAGCAGCCAAGTCGTCCGAGCAGTCAACAAGAGTCGTCGCATATTTTTTCTATTGTCGGTAATGAAACATTTATAATACACTAAAATCCGATTAAGAGTAAGAACTCATTATGTAATTATCCGAAAATCCTTAGAAATTGTTTGGCTTTTTGTTCTGCCCCATGCTAACGCTTGGTATACGAAACATTTAATATCATGGATTTAGCTGTTCAAGTTATCAAAATTCATTGAAAATCAAATATACTTGTTCGTCTCAAGACCTTAAACTCTTTTTATCAATCTAAAGTCAATCGGATGCTAACTTTGGTCTCTAGAGCATCCACAAGATTTTTCAAAGTGATCAAGGGCCATAACTCTGGTAGTAATTATCAGAATTCATTGAAAATCACTGAGCTTTTTCGTCTCATGACCTTAAATACTGTGTATAAATCTTAAGTCAATCAGATAATAACTCTAGCCTCTAGAGCGTCCACAAGATATTTTTCAAAGTGATCAAGGGCCATAACTCTGGCAGTAATTATCGGATATTGTTGAAAATCAATAGATTTCTTCGTCTCATGACCTTAAACACTGTGTATAAATTTACGACCTTAAACACTGTGTATAAATTTAAAGTCAATCGGATATTAACTTTAGCCTCTAGAGCCTCCACAAGCAATTGAGGATGCCGATACGACCGCAGGACGGACGGGGCAACGACAATATACAACCACATTTCAATGTGGGCGTAAAAAAATGGATGTATTGAAATTTTCATTTAAAGTACTTTATCCTGAGTGAAGTTATGACTGAAGCAATAATACTTGACAACCAAAACTTGTACATTTTATCGTTAAATTCTTAAATCTTTCAGATGTTTAAATCTATTTAAATCTAGCTCTTACATAATGCATCATTCTGAATGTTGTGAACCAACAATTAACTCGACTACATTTTCCACTTCTCATTAAACACAGTTAAGATGAATGTATTTAATTCATAAATATGAGACCATCAGGTAATATGGGTGGTAGATAAATGTCATCATAGAAATACACTATGTTATCTATTACATCATTTGGTCTCGATATTGTTATTGATAAATAGTTAATTAGAAAATTTGGATAGTTTTGTAAATAAACTGTATTGCCATAAATGTCAACCATAAATTGGTATTCACATTGATTAAATATTTTCAAATTTACAAAATTAAACACAATTAAACACAATTCAGAAACAAGCAGAGGCTTATACTAATCACAAAAGTTTAAAAATATTAATTTCTATTTGTTCACCTGCTACAACTGCATCATTTTTCATAGCTCGTCTGACAATCATAATAGCATCATGTAGAGATCTTTCTGTTTCTTCCATAAATTGTTCAGCTCCACCACGTAATATAATAGTACATGTTTTAGCTTGTGGACATCCTTTAAACACATTATATCTACAAATAAATACACAACAATATACCCACAAAAAACTTATATTAACAAGAATATACTTACAGATAAATACACCAAACATAAATAGAGAGACAAATTCTACAAGATCTTGCAAGTGTTCCTAGAACACTCTTGATCTTCAAGACTTTACATGCTGCTTTCATATCTAGTCAAATTATCTAAGTGAACACAACCAGCTATCTGAAACTTTAATAACCTACCTTTCACCACCAACTTGAACTTCCTCAAATAGGTCAGCTGTACCTAAAGAACCTGCACTTAAACCTTGTACTGTTGTCTGTATAGAACCACCACAAGCTTTCATTGTTCTCCTTAAATCTTCATCTGGTACACGACCAGCACAAAACATATCTCTATAATATACAAATATAAAACTTCACTCGACTAATCTCTCACTGTTACTTAAAATCTTATTAAGCAGATCTTTACTTTCTTTTATTTAAAATTTTGCCAACAATTTTTAAGGTTAACTCTTTGACTGATTATATTGTAACAAATCAATTGTTTTCCACCACAGACAATCTAATTGGTAAATGACTTGGAGCATAACTTAAAAATTCAACCCGATCTTACTGTCATAAAGAACAATGAAATATAAATGTGTTTATATCCAGCCGATACTTGCAAATAGGATACCGGTAGCTATTTTACCTTACATCTATATGCTCATTCCAAAAACTCTCGCTCCTTGTTTTGGCTAAGAAAGTTCCTCAAGATTTTCCAGCGTGGTTTCCCGTTGTCAGTGGTGCAGGACAGAGGGCCCCGACAAGGACAGCTGTCTAGTTGTTTGGATGGGACAAAAAACCGAGGCCCTGTGTACACATTGACTTGCAAGTAAAAGATCCCTTGGCAGTTGGAATTCCACATAAGAGTAGGTCATAGCAGCGTTGTCTGGGTAAAATTTCCCCCCATATCACACTGTATGGCATAAGTCTGTCTTCATTAGCCCATTAGTTTTCCAAAAACTCACCTGTCTGCAAAATATTGTGTAGCAACATCTCCTATAGGTAATTTAGATAAAACCACCTTGGCACCACTTTTATATAGAGTATCTAATTTATCATATAATATTGTCCATTCTGCATCTACTATAGATTGGTACTCCTAAAATTATTGAACCACCACACAATTAAATTATTAATTTAAAAATTCATTTCTAAATCCTTTTTTCATTATTTTGTTTTGTCATACCTTAAGAGACAAATCTGACATTTGTAATATCACCTATATGAGGGACCCAAGAACATTTACATACAAAATATGCCAGTATGTGATGAAGTAAATTTGGGTTAGAGGTCACATGTTTTGGGGTACATACCAATTATGCCAGTATGTAATGAAGTAAATTTGAGTTTGGTCGCATGTTCTGGGGTAGGGGGGTAGCCCGAAAATGGTAAAAAGAACTACCCTGAGCATATTTCAAGTGAAATATTGACCCCAAAAACCTTACTTTAGATACACCAAAGGTGCTGTATTATGATGAAGCAGTGCAGGGTAAAGCGTATTCGTAAATTTGTGTTGCAGATTTTTTTTTTGTGGGGGGGGGGGGGGGGGGGAAGAATGACCCCATAAGCATTAATTATATGTTCATTATACATTTACAGGGTCTTAAAAACCAACGTTTAGGATTTTCTTGTTAGGCAAATGTTGGACATCTTGAATTTTACCAGACTTTACCCACTTTAAGGGGCAGTTAACACAAGGGTGTTTTCATAAATTAACCAGCGGCTGCAAGGCAGGATACACCCTGATTTTGCAAGAGATGGATAGAGAACAAGCTAAACAAAAAGCGATTTTTCATACAATCTGGGGCCTTAATTCAGGAAGTTAAGATCTGTGGGTTATAAACTTATATTTCAAGTTTCATCAAAATCTGAAGAAAATTGTGACCTCCAGAGGGTCCACAACATTCATATACCTTATTTTTATGCTATTTGAGTACAAGGGGAGGCCATTTTGTCTGTCAGTTTTGAATTCAACCATCCTTAGGGAGTAACGATGATATAGTCAAATGGTTTTTGAAATCGAATAAATATTATAACCTCTATAGGGTCCACAAGCTAAAAACATGATTTTCCGTAAAATCAGGGGCCATACTTCAGGAAGTTACCGTTCGATATGTGCAAATAACGAAAGTTTCATCAAAATCAGAAGAAAATTGTGACCTCTACACATTAAACAAGTGTGCAAAAAATTAATAGGATTGGTGTTGAAAAGTTAGTGCGTATACAGTGTGCTATGAGGGAATTTTGTCCGGGCAGCGGCGCTATGGCCTACTCTTATATCGAATTCCAACTGCCAAGGGATCTTTTACGTGCACGCCAATGTGTTCACGGGACCTCAGTTTTTTTGTCCCATCCGAATGACCAGACAGCTGTCCTTGTCAGGCCCTCCGTCCTGCATCACTGACAAGGGAAAACCATGCCGGGAAATCTGGATGAACTTTCTTGACCAATGCAGGGATCAAACACCTGACCTCCAGGCTTGCGAGCCAGCGTCTTACCCACGTGATCCCCTTAGACCACTCAACGCCCTTAAAACTAAAGCTTTTTGACCCCCACCCCCTATTTTGTGAAAATGACTTGCGTCCCAATTCTGGCCTCTTAACTAAAATGTCTGAATCTGAACCCCTATTTAGACAATTTTATTTACAATACTTACTTGGACAGTATTTACTCTAACTTCTGCATTTTCTTTTTCAGCTTTCAATTCTAATTCAATATTTAATAAAGCTATCTTAGGATTACTATATTTTTTAGACTGCATTTCAAATCCAGCATAACTAAACGTCTTTTTAAATGCAACACCATCTACCAACATAGAATCCTGGAAAAAAAAATATTTATGGATTAAATTGACTATTAAAAGCAAACACTGTATAAATTTGAAGTCAATCAGATATTAACTTTAGCCTCTAAAGCATCCACAAGATTTTTTGAAGTGATCAAAGGCCATTTAACTCTGGCAGTAATTACTGAAAATCAATGAAAATGAAAAGACTTCTTCGTCTCATGACCTTAAACACTGTGTATAAATTTAAAGTCAATCGGATATTAACTTTGGCCTCTAGAACGTCTACAAGATTTTTTTGAAGTGATCAAGGGCCATAACTCTGGCAGTAATTATCGAAAATCACTGAAAATGATTAGACTTCTTCCTCTCATGACCTTAAACACTGTATAAATTTAAAGTCAATCGGATATTAACTTTAGCCTTTAGAGCGTCACAAGATTTTTCAAAGTGATCAAGGGCCATAACTTTGGCAGTAATTATCAGAAATCTTTGAAAATCAATAGGATTCTTCATCTCACTACCTCACTGTATAAATTTAAAGTAAATTGGATGTCCACAAGATTTTTTGAAGTGATCAAGGGCCATTACTCTGGCAGTAATTATTAGAAATATCTGAAAATCAATAGGCTTCTTCGTCCCATGACCTTAAACACTGTGTATAAATTTAAAGTCAATCGGATATTAACTTTGGCCTCCAGAGCGTCCACAAGATTTTTTTTAAGTGATCAAGGGCCATAACTCTGATAGTAATTATCAGTCCCATGACCTTAAACACTGTATAAATTTAAAGTCAATCGGATATTAACTTTAGCCTCTAGAGCAATATTTTTCCACTAGTGTCTCCCGTACATAAACGGTAATTGTGCTTATATTTCGATAACTTTTGAGTCAGCTTCTTTGCATGTATGGAGATCGATATCAAAGTATTATAATACTATCGCTAGTAATATAATAAAATGAAAAAGTAATCCAAAATCGCAGATTGAAAGCCGGCTAAACATCAGTCAATGGCTTCCGATTTCACGCTAAGGTAAAGTGGACAGTCACGTGGCGTGAAATGTTTTCTCTTCATGGAAGAATTGTCAATATCGCATAGACATTTACTAGCCTTGGGAGGAAAAATGACAGTAATGGAAAGAACCTTGTACAGGTCTCTATTTTATCAGTTAAGCTCATGCACTATCAGGGCTCAAACTAGTGGGCGACATGGACGAAATAGTCGCCAAACCACCGCTGATTTCGCCCTCCAAAGAACCTAAGGCAAAGTTGAAGTTGCCCTTGTGTCGCCGTATATTTTACTGAAGGGCGAAATTATTCTGGAGACAGATTTACCTTACATAAACAAACACCTGTGACTCAATGCGAGACTCGAAGGGGAATGTGAAAATTAAACATGTGAATAAGACTGGGAGACATATTTATACATCTTTATGAGAAACTAGACAAAGCTATTTTAACTGTTATGTTAAAGATAATTTAAATCCATCTAAAAATAATAATAATTCAAAATATAGCCAAGGAATATAATTATTTTGTCTCCATTAGAACCTTTAACTCCAAATATTGTAGCCTATCAGCAACAACCCCATTAAACATGGTGGTGGATACAATATTTTCTTGCAGTATTTTGAGATCTATCAACGAAGACAGGCTTGTTTTTGTTCTGTTTACAAAGAGACTTTATATAAAATGAATACAATTCATAGAAATTGGCATACAATGCCATAACTTGTGCTTGAATGTCTATGAAAGCCCAATATTGATATGCCTATTATTAGCGTGCACCACAGACGTCAACACATGTTTATTTTACTTGCAAGTTACACATCAACTTACACAAATGTAGTTTGAGCTTGCACTATCTTGTATGTATTAAAGCTAAATTAGAAGAACTAATTCATATCTAAAATGATTATTTTGTCTGTTCTTTATTAGGGAAATGATTTTGTTATTTACATAGTTCCCCATTGCTTTCTATCATAAATTTAAACTAATAATTTCTTAATTCTAGTTCAGTGGTTTGTTTAAAGTAAGAAATTGAAACATTTAGGACTACCTAATATAATTATAACAGTCAATTTTGTTTGTTCTTTATTAGGGAAATGATTTTGTTGTCATTTACATAGTATATATACTATTCAAAAAAAGTAGGGGATATTTGATTTTGGGGGCATAATACTAAAATATGCAAATGACTACGAAAAAAGTCACTATAGAACCTAACAGAAGAAACATTTCCAGTTACATGTGACGCCCAAACGCACCAATAGCTACCGCATGGAATGCAGGTGATGCTTGGGATCATCATGGGGGTCCAACCAAAGATTTGCACGACTCTGACTTTGAATGTTACAGTCATTGTGGCATTGAATTCCAGGGTGGAAACATCAGTTTAATTGTTTTAGTGTCCAGAAAACAAATTTTGATATGCGTCGGCTTACCCAAAATGAAAGGTTACGTGCCCTTGGCATGCTACAGATCGGCACAACACAGGCGGTTGTGGCGCGGACGATGAATGTTTCTCAGTCTGTCATAAGCAGGCTATGGTCCAGATACCGTGATACACAATCTGTACAGGACAGACCACGCTCAGGTCGACCAAGGGCGACAACTCAGGCCCAGGTTCGATTTATCCGTACCTTGGCCTTGAGAAATCGTGTCATCACAGCAAATCAGATCAGCGCTCGTCTTCAAACAGACACTGGTGTGAGAGTGAGTGGCCAGACGATTCGGAATCGACTGCATAGGGGTCACCTTCGCGCCCGACGTCCTCGCGTAATCCCTTGTTTGAGAGATCATCATATTCAGGCAAGACGTCGTTGGTGTAGGGATTGTCAACACTGGGATAATCGACGCTGGAGCAATGTGATGTTTTCAGATGAGTCAAGGTTCACTGTTGATTTTTTGGACAGACGTAGGAGGGTGTGGCGTCGTCGAAACGAGCGCTTCCAAGACGTTAACGTCATCAGACATGATCGATTTGGGGGTGGTTCTGTTATGGTGTGGGGAGGCATCACTGTTGCTGGAAGAACGGCTTTACATGTTGTTGCAGGGCGTGTTACAGGCCAGTACTACCGGGACAACATCTTGGCAGTCCATGTTGTGCCGTTCGCACGACGTCATGGCCGCCGTTTCATCTTCCAGGATGACAACGCAAGATGTCACAGGGCCAGGATCGTTACAGGTTACCTCCAACAACAGAACATCACCACATTACCTTGGCCAGCACTGAGTCCCGACCTCTCCCCCATCGAGCATGTCTGGGACATGCTTGGACAGAGGTTACGTCAACGTCAACAACGTCCTGCCAATGTCCAAGAACTTGCTGCTGCGTTGCAACAGGAATGGGACAATCTGGACCAAAATGACCTTAGACGTCTCATTAGGAGTATGCCACGTCGAATCAATGCTTGTTTGGCAAACAGAGGAGGATTTACCCGTTAATGACTTGGTTGTGATGCTGTGGTAACTTTGCTGTTTGACCCCGGGTATCATTTTACCCTTATAATGGTCAGTCTGTGCCTTACTTAGTCTAACGATCATTTGGAATAAATCGATGAATGTGAACTTCATTTCATTTTGTCATTTGTTTCTTCGTCAGTTTCATTAGGTGACTTTAATAACACTTAAAAATCAAATATCCCCTACTTTTTTTGAATAGTATAGTTCCCCATTGCTTTCTATCAAATTTAAAATTACTAACAATTTCTTTAATCTGGTACAGTGGTGTGTTTAAAGCAAGAAATTGGAACATTTAGGGATACCTAATATAATTATACAGTCCGTTCGACTACCTGCAAACTTATGCATTTGATACATGTAAATGCTGATATTGTGATCTTTATACCACAATAAATACATAAAAGTTATCTACTATATAGATGTTGAAACGGCGGACCAAGATGGAATGGTACCATTACTGTTGCAATTTGTGAAATCTGATCTCTCCTTGTAGTCCTCCCTAGGTCTCTCTCACTTCTCCCCATTTTACCTGCAGGGAGAAGTCACTTCTCCCTAAAACTTAATCATAGTTTGAGTCCTGTGCACTATGCTACCATTACAATATACATTATTCCAAACAATAATAATCATAAACACATGTTGGGCTGTCAAGCATATTGCCGGAATTAGAAGTTTCCGATCAATTCCAACCAATCATGAGTTTGATTTATGAAATGGAAGGGAGTTATCTCCCTTTGTGAATGTAAAAGTAGCATTTGCATATGACCATTTTCCTTGATTGGGAGACGGGTCGTGAAAAACAGGTTAGCTGACAAGTCAGATATATAGTGAAACCACAAATGTTAATTTCCCAGGAGTTTCAAGGAATAATCTTGTTTTTTCCAGGATTTTCCAGTACTGGAAATCACATAGTAATAAGATGACGAAATGAGACCAGGTATTATGGGTGGTAGATAAATGTCATCATAGAAATACACTATGTTATCTATTACATCATTTGGTCTCTAAATTTATTCAAAACCAAGAGAGAACATACCTCTAATGCTCCTCCTTGTACCTTTTTGATGCCTATCATATTTAACGGCAATAATTCATCTAGAATCATAACGGCATCAACAACCATTTTAGAGAAGAAATCTTTTTGTGCAGCAACCAATTTAGAACTTAATGATGTAGCGGCACAATTTTCCAATAATACTCGAAGTTCACTGAAAAATTTATAAATAATTTTCATGCACAATCCATGATGTTCAAAGATGTTTTATTCCAAATTCGTTTGTGAAGAAGATCAGGATTGGTAAGATGTTTTTTCATACATATCAACAACACAACCAAAGTAGTCATCATAAATTTGTTGCTTCCAAACTACATTTCTTAAATGAATACTTCAATTTAATACATAAATAATTTTCATACACAATCCAAATTCCAATTAGTTTTTTAACAAGATCAGAATTGGTTAGTTGTTTTTTTCATACATTATCAACAACACGGACCAAAGTAGTCATCATAACTTCTTGTTGCTTTTAAAACTATCATACACAATCCAAATTCCAATTAGTTTTTAAACAAGATCAGAATTGGTTAGTTGTTTTTTCATACAGTATCAACAACACGGACCAAAGTAGTCATCATAATTTCTTGTTGCTTTTAAAACTATCATACACAATCCAAATTCCAATTAGTTTTTAAACAAGATCAGAATTGGTTAGTTGTTTTTTCATACAGTATCAACAACACGGACCAAAGTAGTCATCATAATTTCTTGTTGCTTTTGAACTACAATTCCTATAGGAATACTTTAAATACAATGACAAAATGCAGTCGATTGTTGAAACACCTGTAAGTTTCACTGGATTCAATATTTTCTGGCCAAGAATGGGCTTTAAAATGTAACTTATCACTGGTCCCAATACTAAACATTCATACATTTATACCCCTGAACATTCAAACATTTATACCCCTGCTATTGACACAACTCGTCAAATGTACAGGGTATTTCATCGTCTCAGGTCAAAATAAAAACCCATTAGATCCAGAAACAGGCTGCCAAGCAATGAAACGTACACAGCTACGTCGTACGAGAAATCCACAACTGTTCATGAATAACCATGGTGCTTAAATTTAAAAATGAGTTCCCAGAAAAGTATTTATCGGGTGGTTATTTCCAATAAAAGTATGGCAATTTTGGTATATATGGAAAGTAGAGATATCCAATCTTACTAGAAAAATACTGGATTCCCCGAATAACACTCATGGAGCGTATACAGGACAAAAATGTAAGGGTTCCCCGACGATTAGGAATTTCTGAACGCGTGATGTCAAAGGTCACACGCGAACATTGAGCGCTTGATGTACAAGTTGATAAACTTTATGGAGAGTAAGACGTACAACACTTTGGGATAAAAATGACGGAAAAAGACGCGGGTAGTGGAAATCCGAGAATTTAATTAGGATTCGATATTTGTAATAAATAGTAAGCGATTAAAGACAACATCGTCTTATGTATGCAATATATTCTCCTCGGACTTACAAGATAGGTAAGTCACGTGACGTAAACATGACCTGGTTTGATCGAATTTTTATAGCAGGGCATTCCTTTGCAATTACAATGTTTGAGAAGGATTTGAAGCAAAATTATGACAAATTAATTAGTTCGAATATGTTTTTAGTCCATCTATACCATTAAATCACCCAGTTTGTATGCAGGACGGTATCTTTAAAGGCAATGGAAATTTAACTTGATCTTCAAGTGTTGTCAGAATACATTCAAAAATTAATATGCTGCTTTTTCTAATGAACTCAACACCTTCGTCTCGTGAACTGTAAAACTTCAAATTAAACAAAATAAAGATGCATTATTTGTTATGGTCTATCAGCATATTTAAACTGTACTTCATTTTAATCTGAAGATTAATCAGTCTCTTCCTATCAAACATCATTTAGACCTCTATAATATTCCGAAAAGCTAAAACAATCCCAAAATAAATTGATTACCGTACATTTATTGCATATTACCTTTTTGTAATGCATTGAGTAGTCAAACTTGATGTGGTGAAACTATACACCAAGATTCATCACTCTTAATAAATTAAAATTTTAGTTATCGTGTCCAAAGCATCGACCCGTAAAATTTATATCTTCGTCCAAAATCCATCAAGGTATTTGCCTAATACACAGCTACCCAAGTTAAGCAGAGTTATGTGTCCCGAAAAGGGTGACAGACCCATTTTAATAGTACCCTTAAATATGTTTAAAACTCTGCCATGTGATGACTTCACAATAAGTACAATACAGGTACTTATATTATTATTACAACACATTTATAGAGAACTCTTTCACATCACATGTTCAGGGGCACTTTATATAGTGACAATATAATCATAAAACCAAAATTATGGACATGTTAAAAGATGTATATACAGAGTCAGTAAAAAGCTTGTTTAAAGTTCCCAGAAAGTATTTTATCAGGTGGTTATTTCCAATAAAAGTATGGCAATTTTGTTATATATGGCAAGCAGAAATATCTAATCTTACTAGAACAATACTGGATTCCCTGATAAACACTCATGGAGCACATACAGGACAAAAATGTAAGTTAAATGAAATGAGATTTAACGTCCTACTATTCTGCTCCGAACTGGGCGAATGAAGACAGGCATACGCCATACAGTGTGCTATGAGGGAAATTTTGAGCGGACAGCAAAACGGTAAGGGTTTCCCTCATCGACAGCCTGATGATTAGGAATGTCTGCTTGCGTGACGTCAAAGGTTGCACGCTGAGAATGAGCGCTTGATGAACATGTTGATAAACTTAATGAAGAGTAAGACGTACAACACTTTCTGAGATAAAAATTACAGAAAAAGACATGGGCAGTGGATAATCCGAGAATTTAATTAGGCTTCGATATTTATGATAATGGATAGCGATTAAAGACAACATCGTCTTGTGTATGCAATGAATTCTTCTCCGACTTCGCACCCGTTGCTAGGTGGTTCGTCAGCGAGGTCACGTGACACAAACATGGCCTATTTTAATAGATTTTTTATAGCGGGGGCATTCCCTCGCGTTAACATTGTATTGAGACGGATATGAAGCAAAATTTTGATAGATTAATTAGTTTGAATATGTTTTTAGTTCAAATACATCATCAAATCACTCGGGAACGTATCTTTAAATTTGTTTCAAGTTGTATGATGACAGGCTGTGTATGCCTGATGTTTTACAAACTGAAGGCTTTTTATATTTGAAGACAAGATCAGAATTGGTTAGTTGTTTTTTCACACAGTATCAACAACACGGACCAAAGTAGTCATCATATTTTGTCTTAATACCAAATTTTACGATTGAAGTTCTAACAAGCCAACGTCCCCGCTGCAATCCCAAAATAAATAGATGACAGTAATTGCACATGAATCTTTTTGATAAGTATCAAGCAATCAAACTGATTATCTATACTTCGTCTAGTCAGAAAATGTTCACAATGGACCCGTCAAGGCTTTTGAAGTACCTAGTAGTAAACTCAACACTTAAGTTTCATCACTCTCCGTAAGTTAGAATCAAAGTTATCTTGTCCCAAAGCTCTGCTTAGGTTTAGCGAAAATGAAAATCATTGAACTCTGTCAAGACATTTATCTAATGAACAACTACACCAAAGGTAAAGCGACATTAGGTAAGAGCTAACAGTTCCCGCTATATTAGTTAAAACAATAGATAAGAGACAATATGCTAGATATCGGCAATACAATTATAGCCCAGCCTAGATTGGCATTACTACCTTAGTTACGATAATAAACAAAGTCTCAATTATCCATTTTAAGGTAAGCACATGGACCACAAAACATATTTAAATCTACTTGTAACAACTAACATGGACGAGAAATCTTCCTTTATTTGTTGAAAGCAGATTGTTTTCCCTCTGGTAAACTGGCTGGAGCTTAACCTTGCAATAACTAGACATTTGCAATGTTATTGCACAATTTTGCTTTTTTACGCCAGTTTTAGTAGAAATCATATAGAGAAGTGAGGTGGGTTTTCTGTGCAATAACGAGCACGTTGAGCAGGTGTCAATGTTACAAGTCATTTATAATTGAAATGGGGTTATGTCCTACAGGGCTAATGAAGACCGAAGTCATTTATAGCACGCTTCATTCATTAACAAGTTTAACACCTCGGCCTACGGCCTCTGTGGTTAAACCTATTAACTCATGAAAGCCGTGCCATAAATATAACTTATATCGCAGCCATCTGATGGCATAGAGAGTTGATTAGGGTCTTGGGTAAGTTGATGTCTAATAATCTATATAAGATTTCAGGCCTAAAGACCTGCAATAGGCGGATTTAGCTCTTGCATAATGCCTGTTTAAACATTCTACCTCCAAAGAGTTATGTTCCAAAGTCTTGACCAATCAAATTGCTTATCGCTACTTAGCCTAAGCAGAAAATTCTCATCGAACTTAGTCAAGGTATTGATATAATTGTCACAATCAAATATCATAGTTTTTCTTTTACATCCGAATTTATAAATATTTATGTTCACATCCTATTTGTCTGAGTTTGATCCCCCAAACTCAATTTTAATTGTCTAAGCTGTATCCCCCAAACTCATCTTGATTGTCAACTGCATCTGAGGCATGCAGCATGTGCACAATATGGCTATATAAGCAGATGTGGATGGCACATCAGAGACAGTCAGTCAGTCAGTCAGTCTTTTAGTAAGGTTCGTTCAGGCCGAATCAGATCGATTATGTAGGAGGGGGCCAATTTAACCTTTCTTCTTTGAATACATAACTGTAGTGAATATCGGACCATGTTTAATTAAATCAGAGGTACATTGGAACTGGGCCACGTTTGATTACGCCCAGTAGGTGAAACTTTTATGTGTGTAGATTATTGTTGGGCAACGTTTGATATGGAGCGGCGTTGGGGCCAAGTTTAGCCGTAGCTGATATCGTGAACAGAACATTTGAGATGATCCCAGAATAGGATCCACAGGCCTATAATTATCTCAACTGTGTTGTGGAGAACTGTGCGGTGTTTAAATGTTTTACGAATAACTTAAATCAGAATAGGTATTGCAGGCCTATGTTTAATGTTTTCGTTGGACGAATAATGTTTTTGTGAATTGATGGTTTGATTCCCACCGGAAGTGACCTATGGACATACTGAACTCTGAAAATTGATTGTTTTACTGATCTGATATAAATATATAAAGTATTAAATTATACTATTAATGCCATTTCGTTTTCTTTATGATTTTGAAGACGCAGCTGGGGGGTAGTTTGCACGAGTGGCAATTGGTCAGGTGCCAAATCGTGACAATAATAAATCTTTACTTGGAGTTTCATTACTCTCACTTAATTAAAACCAAAGTTATCATGTTCCTAAGTTTCAACCAATCAAATTGCTTACTGGGTTATCTCTGTTTAGCCTTTGTGGAAAATGAGCATGATCGAATTCTGTCAAGATACTCAACAGACACGTCAATCAGAAGGCAAGTTATTGTGTTCCAAAGTCTCAACCATCAGACTGAAGTCTACTTCGGCCTAAGCATAAAATGCGTTTCAAACTTTTGATGCAATGAAACTATACCCATAGTTTCATCAATCTTCGAACTCCAAGTTATTCACCTAATCAACATCTACACCAAGTTCGAATATTCTGCTTACCCTAAACAAAAAATGCTCATCTTCGAACTTCAGGGCATTAACCTAATAAACACCTACATCAAGTTTGAACATTCTACCTGAAGGAGAGTTATTGTGCCCCAAAAAATGCGACAGACGGATAGACCTATTTAATAGTCCCCCGCTTTGACAGACGGGGGACAAAAATACATTAAAGGTTAACAAATATTTGTTGAAATCATGCCTGTGCTTTACAAGATAACCACTACATTTACCTTTTCACAAAAGTAGCCTCATTCATAGTAAAAATCTTAGTGCTTTTTATCAGATTCAATGTGGTAATTGAATCATATCAATAACTTACTTTGGGTCATCTTTTTTAATCTTGACCGATATTTCTTTTATTTTCTGGACCATCTAAAACAAAGGAAATAACTGTCAGTAAAGTGTCCAACAAGTCTTGCCATTTAAAATGTCAATTACAAACAGGATTTAAATGATAAGACCATCAGGTAATATGGGTGGTAGATAAATGTCATCATAGAAATATACTATGTTATCTATTACATCATTTGGTCTCATAAATAAATTATATATCAAGTTTCAATTATACTGAAATTCACATTATACTTAAATTAAATAAAGCAACATCAGACTTGTTCAATAAACTGTGATACAAGTGTAATTCATCTTAAAAGAAATAGTACAACAATTCTGCTGTTGTATTACCAGATCATTTTAAATACCATTTGGTCTCAATTTATTGAACTACATTCACCAGCAAATGCTAATTTTCTGCACCAGACAATCGATTAGAAGACATACACTGGTTGCATTAATATCAGACTGTGACAACAAAATATAACACTTCCAATGTGGGAATATAAAAATTCCAAAAGTTAGGTCAACTATTAAAATGCAAGTATGTAGCTTCTCAAAATAATTATAGCAATGAATTTTTAAAAGCCAATAATTTCTATAACATAAAATATTTCTATCTTCAAGTAGTTACCATAAATATCATCTGACATGCCATTATTGAGCAAATTCTGTTAATAAATACCACCCAAGCAACACCACTAAAAATTTCTTTAAAATCCTTTCAGTAATTCAGCGACAGGAAAGTATTTTTCATTGTTCCACTCCAAAGGTTAACATACCTAATTTGAAGAAGTCCGAATAATCTTCACTTTCAAATTTTAACAGTTAATAATTACCAGCATACAAATATAGACAAGATCAGAATTGGTTAGTTGTTTTTTCATACAGTATCAACAACACGGACCAAAGTAGTCATCACATCTCATCACTATGAAAACCAAATGTCCTTTACTGAAATCTATGATGCATTTTAGGTTTCGAAAATGTCTGAGAAAAAACAAATCTGTCACAATGTTTCTAATTGCCAGCGTAGAAATACTGTCTACCTTCCAACTAGCTCCCTATGTTAAATACAACATGTGGGAGAGAGAAAACATGCTTTTCTTCAAAGCAAATTATCAAACATAACAGACCGAAAATTGGTTGAAACATGTAACCAGCAGCTACCAGGCAAGATACACCCACATTTTGCAAGAGATCGATAGAGAACAAGCTAAAAACAAATGCGATTTTTTGTTGTACAATCGGGAGCGATAATCCAGAAAGTTATGGCCTGAAATATCAAAAAGGATTGAGATCTTTAAGTTTCATCAGAATCAGATAAAAATTGTGACCTCTAGAGGGTCCACAACCTTCGTATTACACACTTCAACACAATTTGCGTACAGAGTAGTGTTGTCACGATCACAAAATTCTTGAATCGGTTAATCGGCCAGCCAAAAATCGTATTGGTGCCGATTAATCGGATGCCGTATAAATTCTATAATGGCAATGTCTGTACTGCGCTCCGAGGTTATTTTTCTTGTGATTTTTTGTTAATAAGTAAATTATACCAGCGGCTGCCAGGCAGGATACACCCACATTTTCGAGAGATGGATAGAGAACAAGCTAACAAGAAAGTGATTTTTCCTACAATCAAGGGCCATAATTCAGGAAATTACAATTCGATATGCGCATATATCGAAAGGAACTGAGATCTTTGTGTTATAAACTTACATTTCAAGTTTCAACAAAATCGGTTAAAAATTGTGACCTCTATAGGGTCCACAACCTTAATATACCATATTTTTACGCTATTTGAGAACGAACTGCGGCCATTTTGTCTGTCAATTTTGGGGCGATTTTCACAAAATTCAAACTCAACTGTCCTTAGGGTGGAACGGTAATATAATATAACGGTTTTTTAAATCGGATAAAAATTATGACCTCTAATGGGTCCACAAGCTAAAAACATGATTTTTCGTACAATCAGGGGCCATAATTCAGGAAGTTACGGTCCGATATGGGCAAATATTGAAAGGAACCGAGATCTTTGGGTTATAAACTTATATTTCAAGTTTCAACAAAATCGGATAAAAATTGTGACCTCTATAGGGCCCCACAACCTTGATATACCATATTTTTACGCTATTTGAGAATGAACGGCGGCCATTTTGTCTGTCAATTTTGTCGTCCTTAGGGTGTAACGGTGATATAATAATACGTTTTTTTAAATCGAATAAAAATTATGACCTCTATAGGGTCCATAAGCTAAAAAAGTGATTTTTCGTACAAACAGGGGCCATAATCCATGAAGTTTCGATCCGATACATGCCAATATCGAAAGCAGCCGAGATCTTTTGGGGATAAACCTATATTTCAAGTTTCGTCGAAATCGGATAAGAATTGTGACCTGTAGAGAGTCAACAAATAATTGTGGACGGACGGACGGACAGGGGCGACGGCATAATACGTCCACATGAAAATGTGGGCGTATAAAAATGGCGCGTGAACACTGAATAGCTGATAGTATATCAATGTAGTACATTTCGTTGAGTTTGTCCTAAATAGATGTTGGAATAAATTGTTTAAATTGGTAATAAACAACATTTACTAAGTCATTAGTTTTGATATTTAATTACGCGATTGAGGTTAATTTGAGCTGAGTAAGACATTCCCATGTTCTGACTTATCCCACAGCTTTAACTACTAATTACAAGAGCATCGCTACCGCTGCAATATACGTCCACATTCCTGCTTTGATTGATATGGTACTTTTTAAAACTAGAAATGGGCGTGGCTCTGCCCCTGGGGGTCGGGCATGCACCAAAAACAATAGGGATCTTCCTTGGGGTATAAGGAATAAGTATACCAAGTTTGAAGAAAATCCAGTAAGAATTGCGCCCTGTAGGCGACACAAAGACACACGAAAAGAAAATGGGAAATGGGCGTGGCTCTGCCCCTGGGGGTTGGGCATGTACCCCAAACGATAGGGATGTTCCTTAGGGTACAAAGAATGTGTATGCAAGATTATAAGTTAAGAAATGTGGCCTGTAGACGACAAACAAACAAATACTAGAAATGGGCGTGGCTCTGCCCCTGGGGGTCGGGCATGCACCAAAAACAATAGGGATCTTCCTTGGGGTATAAGGAATAAGTATACCAAGTTTGAAGAAAATCCAGTAAGAATTGCGCCCTGTAGGCGACACAAAGACACACGAAAAGAAAATGGGCGTGGCTCTGCCCCTGGGGGTTGGGCATGCACCCCAAACGATAGGGATGTTCCTTAGGGTACAAAGAATGTGTATGCAAAGTTTCAAGATTATTAGTTAAGAAATGTGGCCTGTAGACGACAAACAAACAAATACTAGAAATGGGCGTGGCTCTGCCCCGGGGGGTCGGGCATGCACCAAAAACAATAGGGATCTTCCTTGGGGTATAAGGAATAAGTATACCAAGTTTGAAGAAAATCCATGAAGAATTGCGCCCTGTAGGCGAACCACAGACACACACACACACACACACACACACATACATACACACACACACACACACAGACAGACAGGGGCGACGGCATAATACGTTCACATTATGAATGTGGACGTATAAAAAATCCAATACTGGCAATAGATTACAATTCTGTAGTACAACAATTCCTGTACATAATATTTTAACATATATAGCGATAATCATATTGACGAAAAACAACAAGAGAAGCCGCGGAAGACAGCACAAATAGAAAAGAACACGTATCATTTAAAAAGATGGCAATATATGCCGAGGGGGGCGAATAGAAGTGACTCGTACACAGGATAGAGGAGTCTCGTACACAGTAACGGCACATTCTGATTGTGAATTAAATAATAAATTACAGCTGGATTTAAAATCAATTTATATTGGAGCAGTGTTTTCTTCTTTATAAAACGGTATTTTATTAAAATTACATTGGCAGTTATCACTCATAAAAAGGCATAGCCAACTTCCCTGTCTCGTGCGGCATGCATTCAGTCCATGTATTATAATGCCCATGATTATCATGTCTGTTATAGTCCGTTGTTGACAGCTATTTAGCGCCAAAATCAACCATTTTACACATTTCATAGTAAGATATACCTAATATGATAGGCGAAGAATTCCATGCGACATGGAGATCGTGCCACTGTAAATGGGAATTTCTGTATAGAGTCTCAAACAACGTACTTACGTAGGGCCCTACTTTCTATATGGTTTTAATAGGCAGCAATTCAGCAGTGTGTTTAGCAGACAGTAAAAGTCAAACATTATATGTAATTGTATAAATATAAATTGGATGAAACGACCACCGATTTTTCAAAATGTGAATCGGTTTGAGCTAGAAACCGAATCGACTACGACTAAACCGATTAATAGTGAAAACCCTAGTACAGAGCGACCATTTTGTCCGGCAGTTTCATTTTGATTTTCCCGAAATTTGAATTCAACCTTCATTATGGTGGAATGGTGATGTATTTAAACGGTTTTTAAAACCGGAAAAAAATTGTGACCTCTGGAGAATCTGCAAGCTAAAAATGAGATTTTTCGAACAATCAGGGGCCATAATACAGGAAGTTAACTTTGGGTATCGCGATTTTCAAAAGGAACCAGATCTTAGTGTGTAACGGTGATATATTCACATGTTTTTTTTTTAAATCTGATAAAAATTGTGACCACAAGCTAAAAACATGTTTTGTAAAATCAAGGGCCATAATTCTGGAAGTTACGATCCGATATGCGTGAATATTGAAAGGAACCAAGATCTTTGGGTTATAAACTCGAATTTCAAGTTTCTTCAAAATCGGATCAAAATTGTGACCTCTAGAGCCAGTAAAGGGTCCACAACCCTGATACACAATATTTTGACACTATTTGCGAACAAGGGGCGACCATTTTGTCCGTCAGTTTCAGGCCGATTTTTTACGAAATTCGAACTCAATCATTAGGAGGTAACGGTGATATATTCAAAAAATTTTTAAATCGGATAAAAATTGTGACCTCTATAGGGTCCACAAGCTAAAAACACAATTTTTTGTACAATCATTGTCCGATATGCATGAATATCGAAAGGAACCGAGATCTGTGGGTTACATACATTTCAAGCTTAAACCAAATCGGATAAAATTTGTGACCTCTACACTGTTCACAGGCTAAAAACTTGATTTTTCATACAATCAGGAACCGAGATCTTAGGGTGATAAACCTATATTTCAAGTTTCATTGAAATCGGATAAAAATTGTGACCTGTAGAGTGTTCACAAACAATTGTGGACGGACGGGGGCGATAACAATATATGTCCACATGAAATGTGGGTGTATAAAAATAGATATATTAAAAGTGAGTTTATTAATATTAAATAAATGAATTGAACGTAAGTTGTTCTACTGAAATACTTGAACTTCAGTTGATTTCTCAAAACAGTTTTTTCTAGAGTTACCAATTTTAGTCACGCTATATCTCTGAAAGTTATGGTCAGATTTTCTTGAAACTTGGAATATAACTTCCTACATAATAACTTTGTGCAATAGGAAAATTTTTATTGAAATCTGCAAAATAGTTCCCGATACATTGTTGCCATAGCAACTGTGACATGTGAAAGAATTTTGAAGTTAACATTAAAATGTGTATAACTTGCTTTCTAATTATTATTTTGTACTGAAACTTGCCTATTGCATGTCAGTAACCTCTCTGCTTATTTTTAAAACATTCTGTTGAATAGTTTCTGAGAAACTGGATGACTAAAATTATACCCAGAAATCCAAGATGGACACCGTTTCCATGGCAACAGGTACCCCACAGGAAAATTTTTCAGACATTTTTTTATTACTCAATGGATGTAAGAATTATCATTTGAAAAGCAAAATCCATGTATTAAAAAGATAGGTTGCAGGGCAACGAAACATACGCCCACAGCAGCTAAATCGTCCGGGCAGTCTTACTTATTTCGGTAATGAAACATTTATAATACAAAAAAAAAATGATTAAGAGTAACAACTCATTAAGTAATTATCAGAAAATCATTAGAATTTGTTATGTTTTTAAAAAGTTCTGACCCATGCTAACGTTTAGTATACAAAATATTTAATATGGATTTTGCTGTTCAAGTTATCAAAATACTTGTTCATTTCAAGACCTTAGACGCTGTGTATCAATCTGAAGTCAATCGGATGATAACTTTAGCCTCTAGAGCGTCACAAGATTTTTCAAAGTTATCAAGGGCCATAACTTTGGCAGTAATTATCGGAAATCATTGAAAATCAATAGGATACTTTGTCTCATGACCTCAAACAATGCGTATAAATTTAAAGTGAATCAGATATTAGCTTTAGCCCCTAGAGCATCCACAAGATTTTTTGAAGTGATCAAGGGATATAACTCTGGCAGTAATTATCTGAAATCGCTGAAAATCAATAGGATTCTTCGTCACATGACCTTAAACACTGTGTATAAATTTAAAGTCAATCATATATTAACTTTAGCCTCTAGAGCCTCCAAAGATTTTTCAAAACGATCAATGGCTAGAACTCGGGCAGTAATTATCGAAAATCGCTGAAAATAAATAGGCTTCTTCGTCTCATGACCTTAAACACTGTGTCCATCTCTGCAAAATGTGAGCGTATCTTACATGGCAACCACCTGTTTGTAATATAGTTGAATGTTTTAACAATGAAGATAAATTATGGTAGGGAAAGCACCAAACTGTTGAAAATATTTTTCAAGTAGTAAATAGTTTACCAAACATCCTGCTTTTCTAAATGCTCTAATGATGATTTGTGGATGAACATGTTCCTCTATGTAGGGTTTTGCTTCTTTCAGGAATTCACCGGCTAAAAGAACAACACTAGTCGTACCATCACCAACCTTAAGACAGAAGCATTAGTTTTACATCAATCATTTTTTAAATTGACAGTTAACAGTTTTCAAAAACATGATGCAAGTGGCATTTTTTCTGATTTAAGAGCAGTGTTTGCAAGGAAAGGTAATTGATTTATTGATGAAATATAACAAAAGAAATGGAGTTTAACATCTACCGTACTGTTCTTCTCCGAGTGGACATACAGTGTGCTATAAGAGAAATTTTGCCTGGACAGTGGTGCTCTGGCCTACTCATAAAACTGAAGTCCAAATGCCAAGGGTTCTTTTATGTGCACGCCATTGAGTACACAAGACTTCGGTTTTTAGTCCTTTCTGAACCACTATATGTTCTCCCTTGGCAGACCTTCTGTCCTGCACCAGAGACAACGGGGAACCACGGTAGAAAATTCTGATGGTCTCTCTCTCTCTCGGCCAACGCTGGGATCGAACATGGGACCGTCTGATTAACGAGCCAATGTCTTACTCACTGAGCCAATGTCTTACTCACTGAGCCACCACAGCTCAGAAACATAACAGACCCCTGGATGGATTGAGTAATAATGGGATTGGATAGTTGGATAATTCAAACATATTTAGGAATTGCTCAGTTTGTCATAAAAGCCTGAAACTGCATGTGCAAACTCAATTGGGAGGGAGAGAAATGAAATGGGGATTTAACTCTTACTTTTCTGCATCGACGAAGATTTTAAAGATAGGTTGCCAGGCAACGAAACATACGCCCACAACAGCTAAATCGTCCGGGCAGTCAACAAGAGTTGTGGCATATTTTTACTTTTTTCGGTAATGAAACATTTATAATACACTAAAATCTGATTAAGAGCAACAACTCATGAAGTAATTATCAGAAAAATCATTAGAATTTGTTTGTTTGTATAAAGTTCTGCCCCATGCTAACGTTTTGTATACAAAACTTTAATATCATGGATTTAGCTGTTCAAGACATAAAAATCCATTGAAAATCAATATACTTGTTCGTCTCAAGATCTTAAACTCTGGATCAATCTGAAGTCAATCGGATGATAACTTTAGAGAGAGAGAGAAATTGGGTTTAACGTCCACACTCGACACAAACCAGGTCATTTCGGGACTAACATATGGTTTTAATTTTATTTCAATAATTCGCTTGCGCGTAGGGGTCTTTAGCAGTGGGAGGAAACCGGAGGACCCGGAGAAAACCCACGAGGTTGTGATAACTTTAGCCTTTAGAGCGTCACAAAGTAAACAAGGGCCATTACTTTGGCAGTAATTATCGGAAATCATTGAAAATCAATAGGATTCTTTGTCTCATGACCTTAAACACTGTATAAATTAAAAGTCAATCGGATATTAACTTTGGCCTTTAGAGCGTCCACAAGATTTTTTGAAGTGATCACGGGCCATAACTCTTGCAGTAATTATCGGAAATCATTGAAAATCAATAGGATTCTTCATCTCATGACCTTAAACACTGTGTATAACTTTAAAGTCAACCGGATATTAACTTCGGTGTATAGAGCGTCCACAAGATTTTTTGAAGTGATCAAGGGCCATAACTGGCAGTAATTAACAGAAATCGCTGAAAATCAATAGGCTTCTTCATCTCATGACCTAAAACACTGTATAAATTTTAGGTCAATCGGATATTAACTTTGGCCTCTAGAGCATCCACAAGATTTTTCAAAGTGATCAAGGGCCATAACTCTGACAATAATTATCGGAAATCGCTGAAAATCAAAAGCTTCTTCGTCTCAAGACCTTAAACATTGTATAAATTTAAAGTCAATCAGATATTAACTTTGGCCTCTAGAGGGTCCACAAGCAATTGTGGACGCCGGACCGACGGACGACGACAATATACGACCACATTTCAATGTGGGCGTATAAAAACCGATGAGCATGTGCCTGGTCTACTCTTTATTTTGAATTCCAACAGTCAAAGGTTCTTTTACATTCACAACAAAAAAACATGACATCAGTACCATTATTACATCACCAATAGCTGCGCCCATACCTGGGTCAACACTTGCAGACAGACTTTAATTATTCCCTCAGAAATTGCTATGCAAATATGTACTATCAATTATTCACTGTACAATTTTATCTCTTATTGATTAACTTACTTCAGCATCTTGAGACTTGGCAATATCAACTAATGTTTTAGCTGCTGGGTGCACAATATCTAAAGTCTTCAATATGGTTGCCCCATCATTTGATATAGTTGCTTTTCCTGCAAATACAAATATTTACAAAATACAAATAAATTTAAAGGCTGTGTAAAACATCAATACCTCTTTGCGTCATATGCAGTCTATTTTCTATTAAATTTGTATTTTTTATAATATTTTCCTGGAGCCTTATTCCGACAAAGTTGAATTATTGGGCAATGGAATCAGCTTTCTTGGAAACCGTATGATCACTCAAAATTGCCAGCTGGAATGGTGTTCCAATCCAACACATCCTACAGCCCGGCACAAAGATGAAGATAAAATTATTTCTAATAACTACAGGGACCACAGTCTTGCAAAATGGTTGGAAATAAGATCTTATAAACCATTTGGTCATCTGTAAATTGAATGTACCTCTGCAATGGTAAAATGCACACAACATCCAGATTATTGTAAGAAGCATATTACAGTAAATGTACCTCCGGTTTCAACAATAAGTTTATCCATTCCTCTTGGACCCAGTGTAGTTCGCACAGCATCTGCAATGGCTTGACAGGCATTGACATTGCTGATAATTTGAGGGGTACCCTGGGATGTATCTGTGCCCTCTTTTAACAGAATAATTGGTGGTTGCTAAAATTTTAAAAAATAATGGCAATAGATTAATAATAAAAACAAGCAAACAGTGAGTCTGATGTCCCCTGCCGAAATCCTCAAATAAATAGACACATATTAATGAATCACACATCTATTTTTTTCAAAAGTATCAAGCAATCAAACTGATTATCAACTATACACTAAGTTTCATCACTATCAGATAGAATCAAAGTTTTTTATTCGTTGGGATATTCAATTTTAAATTCAGTTTGAGGTAGGATTATAATATGCTTAATTGTAGTTGGATGTAGCAGAAATAATATAAATGACATAATCATCGTTTTGATGAAAAATATTGTCAATTTTGTTTACTGATGCCCGATGTGATTTGCGTTGGGCTTTGCACCATCTCTCATCTCGAAACGTAGAGGGTTGAGAGATGAGGTTTGTTACTTTATTTACTATTTAGCCATACTTCCGTTCGACATGCGCAGTTGTCCAATTCTCGCGAGATCTCAAGCCCATGGGGACCGAAGAATATGTTGACGGCTAGTGTGTTTACTAAAATGATGTTTCGGGCGTAATTGGAAGCGAATTTGACTCTTTTCTAGCAGGGTTAGGGTTAGGGTAAAATAAAATTCATCGGGAGACGGTAAAATAAAATTTGTCGTGAGACGGTAAAATAGTTGAACTGACCGATGGCAATTAATGTCAGACGGTAAAATAGGCCACGAGTTGAAATAGCCAGCATCATTGCCAAAGCGAAAACCGCCAAGTCCAGGAATCAGACAACTGCGCTGTCAAACGGAAGTGACGGCTAAATAGTACATAAAAGTAAAGAACCGTCGGACGGCTGAATATCCACTGCATTATCTATATTAGTGCACCTGCGAAGGTTTAGCCTTAGCCGGATGGACTCTTCTATGTCAATGTGGATAGTGCCAATTGCTGAGAAAAAATAACACTCAAATCGAGGATTCAACTAGGTATAGGCAGTGGCTAAGACAAAGCAGTGAAATGTGCAACGTCGTCACTAATTGTAGAAAAAATGGTCATCTTTCCATGATCATCACTAAAAAACTATTGCATAAATTTTGAAATAAATTACACCCTTTCAATCGTCTTTTCTTTCTCTTTTTCATTGATACCCAATTTATATATTTATTCCAAGAAAAACAGCTAAATAAGCAACTTTAAAATGGCCCGTTTTAGCCGCAAGACCTAAATCCACGTCAGATTTGACGTCATCTTTGGGTTGAGCAAAGTACGGGTTCTAAAATTTCGTAAAGCGCTCTCTTGCACATTCTCAATGAAAAATGTATTGGCTACCATATTCTAGCATGTCTGTAGAGCTTTTACCACATACCACATTGTCCGGGAGTTGGATACAAAGAAATTTGAAAATTTTAAGTAGTTTATAAAACCCCAAACTTCAGCAGTAAAATAAGCATAGAACCCATCAAAATAATACAGAAAAACTAGGTACCAAAATGTTCGTTGTGATCTCTAGATTTTATATTAATTCAGTTTCTCCCGGCGCCTTTGATTCCAAGGTAGTGCCGGAGCTTTGAAACTGGGGTATGCTAGTGACGTAAGTGGTCAAAATGGCGGGATGTGATCTCAAGAAAATAGCTGTACGGTCAATCGGGTTTTCTTTGGCCATTATTACGCTTAGATTGAAAATTATACGACTGCGCAATGGAATAAAAACCGAAGTTCTGATTAAAAAAAAGGAATACCGATATATATTAGTTTGAGACGTGTTCATTTAGCGTGAATTTCAAATGCCGGATGTAAACATTCTTATTCTTTACTTTAGACTCGATTATCACGCGTTTGTTACTGGTATAGGAAAACCAGCCATGACGTTCAGGTCTCAAGTGTATTTTTAGTAACACAAGTAGAGAATAACTTCATTAGCCAATCAAATTTAAGGAGGAAATGCTGCGTGGACCTGGGTGAATCTCAATCTGACAGACGAATTTATGACAACTTATTGACATTGTTGGGTTAGTTTCGGCAATAAACTTGTCAATATTAATATTGTGATTATTTTTACAGATTTTTCTTAAAATTTTGCGCGAGAAACGAACCGCTCGCGTAAATGTAGACATCGCATTTCAAACAATACATTGATCAGTATTGTTGAAATTGAACGAATATAAAAAAAACTAAAAGTGATATTTTAAAGATAAAAACTTGTTCATAACTCTTTACCTAGTTTAAATAGGGCAAAATAGACTATTCCAGTGGATTCAGCAGCCCATTTTACCCTAAGGTAGAAATTTTCAGCCAGTTTGAAATTTTTGATTTTTTTGTCATTTTTTTTATTTTTGGCTTCCGCGGAGCAAAATAGTGCTCGGAGCCATTTTCTGGGCCTGATATCTTTCTTTGGAGGCTTTTCAAAGCTGTCAAAAGAATTGGGGCAACTGTGGGGGCCATTGTCAGCTGATATATGAAAGGAAATACCTGTGGTACACTTAGAATTTATTTTATGGAAGGGTCAAATGGCTCCAGAAGCCGATTTTGTCTTGGGCATCGGCTAAAAAAAGCCATTTTGAAGGGTCAATAGTTTAAAAAGAAGTGAAGTCACACGCTTTTCCTTGCATTTATTCCAACTAGGCAGCAGGTACTCAATGTTAAAGAAGTTTCAGGAGTGTATAAAGCTTAGCTTTTGATATATTGGGGGTCAAAAACCACTTTTCGTGCCATGTCCGAGGTTGGTGGGTACCCCAAATCCTGTAACTGGCCATATCTCAGAAACTACTGGAGATAATCAGTTGACATTTTCAGGGTGTTTTTATCTTAGCGAAATGAAACTATTAATACCAAAGGCAAAATTATGTGTTTTTATTTACTTTAAAAATTTGCTTGCCTATACCTAATTAAACGGTCAGGTTTGGTTCCTTTTCGGTTGTATACTGTATACTATTATCACTTAGCCTTGTACTTTTTGTTGGGCTATGCCATGCCTAGATTTTATAATGTTACTATGGATTCGGTCGGGATATATGTATTAATATTATGTTCAGACTAGGCTAGGGCCTACTGACTGGGTATTCCGATAATATAGAACATGACTTACCGGACAGGATAACATATAAAGAGACAATGGAATTTATTTACGTTTAATATCTGTAATATTGTGTTCGGAAACTAACAAATTAAATAATTTTGTTCTACTCAAAAAATCGTCGAATTTTTCTAGAACATTCCACATGTTAGATATGATATGCCGGTACAAAATGGGTATTAATTAAATAGTAGATTTGCACATAAAAGTAAAATAAATTGCAATGACAGCAGTTGCATCATTCTAGTTTTTCCTTTTGCTTTCATGGTGACTCTTCTTTAACAATTAGTAACGGATTGGTGCGATTAAAATAATACTAATCGCACAAACTCACCATCATCTTGACGCCGGAATTAATGTGTTCTAGAGAGTTCTACAGGGGGAGATAATTCACCCTTTTTTTGAAGTTGTTAGACCACTCTTTTTTATTTGCATGGTAAATTTCAAATGACTGAAATGGGGTTCAGCGCCTTACTTTTCTGCACTCACAGTTTAAGTCTATACTGAAATTGAATTATATAAAATATAGTATTGATTGTTTATTTAATGATTTGACTACACAATGTAGATAACTCCGAATGAAATGATATAATATCAAACAAGCACAAATAAAATTACATTAAATTTATTTGAATATATTTTAGTTAAAGGACAATATTGGTGTCAGTCATTATCACATATGAAATATAATTTTAACACAACAAGGTTACAACAAACGGAAGTGACGAACGCAAAAGGAAAACACGAGTTATCCTTCTATCTCAGTAACTGACTGAATATTAAGTGACGAGTGATTTAGATACACGGGCGAATTTCTGCTCACTAATAATTCCTTCGAAGACCAAAAGTTGTTATATGAGACTGTGAGAGCATATCTGACGATTCAAAACAGAAATTGACTGTCACTAGAAAAGAGCAAGCAAAAACATATAGAAAAATTCCGTGCATTAACATGTAGAATGAACTTATTCTTTGAATGGCATTTAGTAATTGGAACATAATCAAAAACACACTTTTATGGATAACAATTACTATGGTTTATTTCACTGCGACGTTTCAACAAGGTTTCACAAGTCGTTATCAAGCATATACACAAATAGATAAAAAATGAGAAATGAACAAAAATAAGTGAATGTACGGACTACTTCATTTTTTCTCGTGTTCTCTTCTCTAGTGGCATTCGTTTACTTTTTTGAATTGTCAGATATCCTCTCACAGTCTCACATAACAACTTTTGGTTTTCGATGGAATTATTAGTGAGTAGAAATTCGCCCGTGTATCTAAATCACTCGTCACTTCAGACAGTCACATAGAAGGATAACACGTGTTTTATTTTTGTGTTCGCCACTTCCTTTTGTAGAAACCTTCACTACGCATCTATCGTAGCAATGATAATTATCTTTGGAACGTGTTTAACGAGTTCTATCAAATATGTGATAATGACTGACAATATTTTCCTTAAATGTCGTTTATATTATTTGAGTAATTTTTGCCATGAATTCACCAATGTGTACACGGGGCCTCGGTTTTTCGTCCCATCTAAACAATAAGATGCGGTTTTTTGCCAGGCACCACTGACAAACGGAATCCTCGCTGAATATTCTTGAGGTGAAGGGACTCCAGTCCATGAGCCATACATATTTGGAGCGATTTCGTAATCTGCCGTAACTTATATTGCAATAGAAGGCCCGATCTCGCTTAAACTCCTTACATAGATGTTGTAAAACTCCACTTAAAGTAGCTAATTAGTCTCTTTAACCATGCGCAATAAAACTATCGGTGTTGACTGGAAAAAACATTCGATTGAGACTTCTGGCGTATTTCGCCGAACATAACTGAATTAAAACTAGAGTAAAAACGGAAACGATTGAATGTAAATCAGTTTATACATATATAGGGCCTACATTCATATTACATTATATTATTTGTGTTAATTTCTAGGTCCCAAATATTAGTGATTTAAACTCCTTTAAACTCCGTACATAGATGTTGTAAATCTCCGGATCGTTGCCTCAGACACGTTCTGAGACCGGATAGAGTTTACACGGGCCCCGGTTTACACTACGGAACGGTTCCGAGACCATCTCACTAAAGCGGTCCAGATTGGAACCGTTCTCACGGAACGCTTACGTTTGACACGTATGCACTACAAAAAATGTATCCATTCGGTTCTCAGAACCGTTCACTGACACAATTAATATTTGTAACGTAAACGGGGTTTATGATCCGACTGTATTGTTTGTTTTAACGTAACCGATCGTGGTTTGTAATGCTATCCTGTGTAGTACACTTAATTTGTACCGACAGCCAAGCCATGCGAAGATTTCCACAGCCCCGGGTCAGTCTAGCTACCAATTAGGCAAAACACGTAGAACGTTTCGTTTGTGTATGTATATAACTTGCGTGCACGTATATACTAGACTTGACTTTCTCGGACTTAATATTGGCATTGTAAAATGAAAACAAAGTAAATGTAAGGTCAGTGGACTATGTTTGTGGATCTGTAACACACACAGAAGGGTTACGTGTACTTTCAAACAATTCAAACAACAAAACGATTATTATGTATACTGTTTTGCACTCTTTTCTGCCACAAACCATGGCAATACCAATGCTGACATTCGCGCATTCACGTCACTGCCATCATAACCCCCAGGCTCATCATTGGTGAGTGACGTCCTTTTCTCGGAGAAATTATAAATGGCGGTGTTCCATCGGTCATTTAACTCATATTTTATCATTCTAATACTTGTCATAACACATTCCCAGAATAAAACCATTTTTGCGCAACAGAAGAAGGAGCGAAGCATTGACCCTACATACACATTATTGTTTTTACAAGAAAGGACAGAAAAGGGGTATTCAACTGAAAAGACAGTTTACGAATATTAACATTTTTAATGGAATATTACCAATTTTGTGGGAAACTAAACTCAATTACACTTCAAATTTCTTTTAGTGTACCAAGATAATGTCACTTCAAAAATGAATGTTTCCTATGCGACAGGACTTTCTCAAAATCTCTAGATATGTTTATGGATAATTTTTTATGTAACTTTTCTATAAATGCAATAAACTTACTTGCCGTCCAGAATGATATGGGACCACTGTAACGGTTTGTAGCGATTGCTTTCACAGCAGTTGGATATACCAAGCTCCTTTATTCATAATCTTTCAAATTATCTCGTTTTGCTTCCAAGTCCTTATTAACATGTGATATAAATTGGCTACCGCATTTCCTTCATTTCCATGCAATAATTATTGTCTCCAAATAAACCAAACTATAGTTGGTATCCAAAATGAAACCAAATCCGTTGGTATCTAAATATTCCCAAATGACTTGGTCAAACTGTTTCCTTTATGGTATCACGTTCCTTGAATTGGTTCAAATTGGATATAATGTCCCAGATTAACCAATAAATTAACGGTGCGTGTCGGAAAATATCAAATTTAGGCTAACAAGGCTCGTGGAGTGCCAAAACATGTTGGGGACCGAAAAGCATAAGTTTGTCACTCTTTGACTGGCATATAATAAGGCATTCCAGCAAGAAATGAAAGGATAAAGAATGCAAAACGATTCTTAGGTATTTTAATGTAAACAACTGGGCTTGGAGAACTTGTACTGCAATTTTCATAATTTTAGGTTCATCGCTCAAATAGTTTCTGGGCGTTAAAATATGGCCCAATTTCCGCATAATTTTAGCTGCAGCAGATTTTGGAGCAATGTATTATCCAAATAACTTTTATATACTCATTTTTATATTTGCAGGGCTAAGAAATAGCTACAGTCAACAGGAACACAAAATATCACCTCCTTAGCTGCAATCAGTTGCTATCGTATTTACTGAAAATCAGACATTTTCGAAAGTTTGAGCTTTTCAATCATTTTGGCACCCTCAATAGTCTACGAAAATGACAACTGATCAGATATCAAATCTAAGAATGGCGAATGTAAAGCTCTCTAGTTGGATTAGAACGCGCAGAGACATTTTCGTCTGGATATTTTTTTCAGAATTTTCAGAGATGGCCGTGTTCAGACACAATAATTATCTGGTATTTGGACCACTTGACATGAAATGACCATTTACATATTATATAAGGGGCAGCATAGATCGATAGAATTTCGCTTCATCATACATCTTTGTAAATGCTGAACGGAATAGGACCATTTTTGAACTGATATCCCTATTAGAAATTAATCTTTTACAATGTTGTAGTTTGCAAGGGATTAATTTTCAAGTGACATTACAGCCTGCTGTTGAAAGAAATTGTTCAGGATTTTGCGATCACAAAAAAGAGAAAAAATCTAATTTAATCTCAGCATGTAAGTTATGTTTCATTTCGAAAGATAAGAATTTATTCTTCGGTTCAATATCGTTTTTATATTTGTATTAGTATTACATATTACATTGGGGCACCATAATCTATTCGGTCTCAGGGTGTGAAATGAAATGAAATGGGGTTTAACGTTCTACTGTTCTGCTCCGACTGGGCTAATGAAGACGGGCATACTCCATACAGTGTGCCAAGGGATCTTTTACGTACCGCCAATGTGTACCCGGGACCTCGGGAGAGTGGGAGGTGAGGGGGAGCACGCCGGAAAATCCTGTCAAACTTTTTCGGCCAACACTGGGATCGAATACGGGACATCCAGGTTAGCGAGCCAACGTCTTATTCACTCAGCCACCGTGGCTTCCTACTAAGGCGAAGATCGCGGTTTCGACCAAGGTGTTGGCCGAGGAAATTCCTCGAAATTTTTCGGTATGGTTTTTCCTTGTCAGTGGTGTAGAACGGAGGAGCTGGCACGGAACAGTGTCCCGTTGTTCGGATGGCATGGAAAATCGAGGCCCCGTATACATGTTCGTGTGCATGTAAAAGTTAACCATGAACGATTGGAATTCAATTGCGTCGGAGCAAACTTTCATGGCGTATGCCCGTCTTCACTTGGCCGATTGAAACAGAAAAATAGGACGTTAAACCCCATTTCATTCATTCAGTCATAGAACGATATATTATTCGCTCCAGTTAAAGGAGCTAAATCTCTATTCTTTTCACCTAGAAATGGACACAAATCGGTCGCAACGCGAAGAGTCCAAATTGAATGCCAGTCTTTGGCGTCCGGTTATCCCAGTCTATATCGGAGACGGTCTGGTACATTATGACGTCATATGTGCACTGTAGGTTAAAGTTAGAGCTGTAGATTTCGTCAAGGTCTCGAGAAGTAAACAGGGCTAGCGCTAACCCTAACCTTAGCCCTAAACCTTACCCACAATCCGCCTATGACGTCATTTGTGCTAGACTGTCTTCGATCTAGCGTTTTCATTCTCCTTTGAGGTATGTTTAGCCTCGTTCTTGAGTCCCTCAATTCATTACAAACGGCGCTCGAAAGCATTCTGTCACGTGATTCGTGTGCCAATTTTAAAATTTTCATTTGGTCTTAAATATTGGATAACAGATGTTGATTTAAATG